CAATTAAAAAAAAAAAAAAAAAAAAACCATCGCAACCACCACCATCGTATATTCTCTGGAGCCAGAAGAACCAGCATAAGCTTAAATTGTTTTTCTAACAAATTCCAAAAAAAAAGAAAAAGAGATGCTCGACGTCTGAACTAAACAATTCCTGGTCCGAGCAGTCAGTATTAATTTTCCTCTTTCTTTTGGTCTCTCTCCTTCCTCCTTGAATGGCTCTTGACTTTTGCAAGCGAATCGACACTCGTTCTCCCCTCTTGTGTCTGATTCGCAGCAGGTTCGCTTGCTCGCAGAAAAGCGAAAGACACGAACCATCGAAACGGAACCGGGGCACTTGGAAAATAAATATGACACGTGACTTGCGGGCCATGCATTAGCTTAATCCAATAAAGAGTGGCTCACCTGAGGCCTCGCCAGTAGCCGACGCCCCACACTTGCGCGTCAACGTTATTCAAGTCCAACTCCCCCATTCTTTATTCTAGCAAAATTAATGAACGGTATCGGTTTCGCTCTCGTTTCCAACGAGCGACAGAGGTAAATCCAAGAAAAATATTAAATTAATATTAATAACCGATAAGGACATCAAGGACCGCAAGCTCGTGATACTCTTTCCGAACTTATGGATCAATGAAAACTCCCAACGCTTAGCCTCTATCGAAATGTCCTTCGACTCACTTTGCGATATAGATTCAAGAAACAGAAAAAAAATGAGCAACTCGTATATCCTAAATGATGAGATAAAATACAATAATGCCAGTGGGACGTGTTTATGAGAGATACCCCGGTATGTTCGTATATGTATGTGTGACCACCAAAAGATTGTTAGAAAAACAATTTACGATGTGAAAACCCATCCGAAAGATACAGAGAGTTTCATCGTCGTTTTTTCAATTCCCTAGAAAAATGTTGTCAACCTATAGACATGCAAAATATTTCTTCGGCATCGTAACCCAGGAAGAAAATGTACGTGGCAACGCTGGATGAGATGTGAATGACATAATGAGGAATCCAATGAAATATTCTGAACGTCATAGTCATAGGAGACTCACGTACTATGACGCGTGCGTCTTCTACTTATTCTATACTGTAACATAAAGAGAGAAAAGAGCTAATTCCAAATGCGTGGACAGAGACGCAGAGATAGAAAGAGGAAAAGGAGAATATACACATCATATATATATATATAAATACATAATGTATATACAGGGTGGGGAGTTTATAGTGAGCAGGTCGATTTTTTTCTAAAAACTCGGCCCACCCTGTGTATACACCTCTCCGTACTTACAGCTGCCTTCGCAATAAACTATTACCACCACCACCACCATCACTGCATAAGCATTTTTGTGTATAAAGAAAAGGTAATTTTTCTTAAGGTGAATGACTAATTTAGTATACAGGGCATCGACGCTTCTAATATAAATGTGCATAGTAAAGGAATTCCAGCGCAAAGTGTTACCACTACGAGCCAATAGAGACATCGCTTTGTTACACAACAAAAACGTATTTCATGTGATCACAGAGAGAAGGTAAAGGTCATAGCCGCCCACCAGACACAGAGTGACCAGTTGAGCAGAGACGTAGTCCACCGTAAGAGGTGCTTGACTCAAAATGGTCCAATCGGATAGAGAGTGAGAGAGAGAGAGAGAGAGATAGAAACAGAGCACGGAAAAGAAAGAAAGATATAGATAGATAGATAGATAGATAGATAGAGAGAGAGAGAGTGAGAGGGAGAAATAAAGGAAATTGACACGCTCATTAACGCTATTCAAACTAGATGAAAATTAAATTTATACTCTAAAGTGTCGCTTATTGTAAGACAGACATACTAAATGTTACTACTGTACATGGCTTATAGAGAGACAAGAAGATTCATGAGATAAGGACATTCGCCCATTAACGCAAAGGAAAATCCATGTACGCGACTACCGCCATTAATTATCATCAATGTCTCATCTGGGATGAAACTCGCCAAAATTTTCAAGGTGAGGAAAAATGGCAAAAGTAAACCACTGTTAATCAGGCCAAGTGATAGAACGACTGTAACCGATTACCGGAAGCAACGCGTTCCGTCTTTAATCTTGCATGATTAATGGGGAGGTTAATACGAAAAATTGTGAAAAACTCATGGAAAGAATGGGAAAATACTAAATTCATTTTTATAATGAAACGTAGATCGGATGAGCGTCAGGGTAATCCAATACAGGCATCCTTCATCGCGGATAAGATAAGGGTAATCACGATGTAAGCAGTTACATTTAGATCCTCTGAGAGGGTTCCTGGAGATGCTGGGAGGTGGAACAGCAGGAGGCAGGTTGTTCCCCTGGGGAGTGGCAGGTGCCGAACCAGACCCTGCTTGCCTCTGCCTCTCTGAAACAACACTTATCGCTCACTTCTTCGAATTCTCCTCTCCCGTCTCGAACTCTTTAACGTTCTTTCCTTTCTTTTATTTTCTTCTCTTTAATCTATTCCTCTCCCGATCGCGCGCGCCTACTATAACATTTCCTTCGTATAATCGTGGTACACTGAATATCGCTGGAAGAACTACATGTAAGACTAGAACAATAGAAACGGGACTCCATGACCTGTCGATGATTTCCTTGCTAATGCAAAGGACGCGAGGACCTAAAGTAGCACGTAGTCTATCGGTGTATCCGATCCTCCACCGTATTATTGTTAGAGCACCACGCTTAAGCAACATAACGCATCAATCACATAAGCACGACGAGTCGGATATATTGTCATGGATAATCCTGAATGATGACTAATAATACATTCGCTATTAAGTGCTAAAATTGGTAATGCACGTGAAGTTGTGAAGTGGTGAAGTGGTGAAATGACTATAAACGGTGCAATTATTGATCTACAGGATGGGCCTGCCTCAATATCCTTCGTTATCTCTATGCAGTTGGCTATCCTTGGAGAATTGATTGGCCCTTAGTAAGTCGGATAATTAGTCTTCGTAAATTTCTCACATATAATACACGACATTACGTAGAAACTAGTTATATTCGCGAGGGCAACTCCACACAAGGAGACCACCTTCCCAAAGAACCTTCTAATGGCTACTAATCTGCTAGGCGGAAAGGTACAAGAAGATTTAGGGACTTGAGATAATTTATAATTTTAAATAACTATAGCAGCCATACTTCTCTCTACAGGAGCTTTTATCCAATTTTTGTACTGATTAATCCGTCCTTCCAAGTAGAGCAATGAGAGCGAACGCGCGGTATCAAGACAGGCACGATCCAAGGCGATTATAGAGTATATGTATATGTGCACGCTTTTCGATAACCGTTCTTTTTCGAATAAAACCTACCCTGGGAGTTGGACATGAACAGGTTGAGTAGCGAGGTGGTGCGGCGAGAAGCCTTGGTGGTTGGTGCCGCGTCTTCCTTCTCCTTATCCTTCTGTTTCTCTTTCTCCTTTCCATGACCCTTGACCCCGCCCCCGGTCAATGAGATACCCGCCCCCTTCAAACCCTGATCTTTCTTTGAATTTTGTATGTTACCAGCAACACCTGTCTCCCCGTTGGCTCCTTTGGACGTCTCCTTCGCAGCTTCGGTGCTTCCCTCTAACTGATTTTGTCCAGTTATTTCCGCCAAGTTGGCCATCACTTCCTCGTATTCGATTACACCTGTCGATTACGCAGCAGCAAGATCAGATTAAGAAATTACATGTATCTAATAATTAATGCGCAACGTGAATAAAGGATCGCTGATACCTGGCTTCTCGAAACCCGTGTATTTACTCTGGACAAATTGTTCCAATAATTTGTCGACGGTCATGTCCAAACACTGTCGCTTGAAGTCGATATGAACCTGACCAACCTGCTCGTGATTCGCTTGAAGGACATCCGCATAGGTGTTCAGGAATTCTTTCATGTGCTTCAAATGCGCTTCCTCGACATCTTGGAACCGCTTGATAACGAGAGAGCACGTGTTAATAATGTCACATTATTTTAAAAGTCCTATAGATTATCGTATCGCGTTATCACGTGCGATACCTTGCAGGCCTGTGTCATTTTCGATACGAAATCATTACGAACAGCTGTGTACTTGTCCACCAGAGCCTTGTAATCATCCTGAGCTTTCTTGAATTTCACTTCTGCCTTTTCCAATTCCCTCTGACTGGCGTTGTCTTTCTTCAGCTTTTCCAATTCAAGGCCCCTTTGCAGACACGTGTCCTTCGCCTTTTGCAGAGTGATAGTGATGCCCTGTATGCTCTGCACGACCTCGAGAGTCGAGGATTCCTCCTCCTTCACCTGTTTCAAAGTATATTTTTCTCTTTGAAAATGAAGCTTGACGTATTGCCTGCGATCCATCACGAATCGTTTCTCAACTTAATTACACTATCCCCTATCAATTCGCAGGCGACACAGCAAGGTAAAGTATATCGTAAGCAACAATTTGCGTAATTCAAAACGAGCAAAATATTAATTGTATCTCATCCATATCCTACGCTATGAATCAGGGATTTTTGATAAAACAAACACGATTTGAGGGATTTGATGTTTGCATACTATCAAGACCTCGACAAAAAACGCACATCCTTCATCATGTCCAACAAGCCTTACAGTCTGGCGAAACCCAGTCACTTTACTATGGGCGTTGACTGATAAGAAAACGTGCTCACGATACGCGTCGTACGAGCTCGTAGTAGAGAGAATCACAGTACAAACAATACCTGGATTACCCAACACCGTATGCAAACCCTTATGAATAATAATAGTAATCAATTGAATCTACAAGGAATAAGGCAAGGCGCCATTGTGACGCGCTATTGGGTATACGTACAGCCTTGTGTTTCTTATGTAGCTCATCTGCATACTTGGAGACGTCCTTTATGAGATCGGAGACTCTTTGGGCCATCTGCAGATGCAAGCCGGCTAATTTTTCAGCGGCTCCTCTCAGTGCAGCCCACACAGGTGCGAAGGTGCCTTGAGAGCTACTGCTGTTACTGGCTTGTTTCGCTACTTTGCTGAGTAACTTGTAGTTATTCTCTTCGATGGTCGATCGCTCGCGTAGGAACTCGGCCAACTCTTTGCTGGCGACCACACCATGCTTCATGTTATGATACAACACATCGAACCCATTATTCTTTTCACCCTGGAATCAGAGAAAAGAAATACAATTAAATACCAAAAGGGCATCCTGGGCAACCTCATAGTTGAAATTCCTTAACTATTGCTTTGAACTCAGACATTTCTGGGCATTGTTGTTTAATCCTGAATATCTTTGGGTGTGCTCGAGACCGTTGCAAATACAAATAATTCGGATATCGCGTCGAGACGAAGAATGCTGCAACTACACTTAAGACCACTTAGCCATTTAACACTTTGACCCTGATCAGACTGCTGCTAGCCCACACGCTCAGTTATTCTCTGTGACGCCACGACAATGGGCCATCATTACATATTATTCCGTCCATCAATCCCTTATGATGTATTCCTCATATTCTCTGGAAATTCTCGAAATCATACATGGTACCTTCAATGCCGTTTGAGTGAAATATTCATTATTTTTACTCATATTTACCAGTCCATTGGGCAGGCTGAAGCATTATTTTGTGTAATTCTCTGTTCGGTAGAGATTAGAGGAAGGGAAAAAAGGAAGTAGTGTATCTTATCTGAGTCATCCCAGAGTCTGTAGGGAAATACAAATAACATTATGTAGCTCCAAAGTGAAGTGATGTGTATTGGAGTTTCTGAGGATTTAATTTCAATAAATAGCGAAATCTATTTTGGTCGACATATGGGGTACCATTAAACGCTTGTCTTGTGGTAAGGTGTAAAGGATACCGGGTAATTTTCGCTAATTGAACGATTGGAACTACTTGATACGGACATACGTCACTGTCTCGTCAAAATGCAAAGAGAATTCAATAAAGAAGATAAATGATTCCTTGCAGTGTCACTCAAAGCTACATCTGGCTCGTGTTACAGAAAACTTTGAAGTAAATATCAGTTACATCCTTACGAGACGGAGTAAAATTCTCCTCTCTGTAAATAGGCTGGCGCATAGCTTCACGTAATTCCTGCTCACAGAATGTATGTTGTACGATACATACAGCTATTAGAATATACAGCATATAAGAAGACAGAGAATGAGAGACAATGGAAAGGCGCGAAAGGATACAACTGACAGAAGTTGTTTGACGTCTTTTTTCTATTAGATGGAATAGAGGAATCCTTACGAAACATAGTCGTGATCAAGGAGAGAATAGTTGGTGAATATTGGTACAAAGGTATAAGGAACCTGGTGTAAAATGCGTAGAAGGGCGGGGAACCGCGTCAAGGAAAGGAATTTCCAACGAAGAAACAGAAAGATAGGAGAAAGGTGGAGAAAGAGAAGTAAAGATAAGAAGATCCATTAGAGTGACAGGAGAGAAGGACGCAGAATGCAGAAGGTAGAGGCAGTAGCTACACCAAGTGGTAGAAGGAGAAGGAAGAGATTGAACACACCTTATTCCTAACCTAACAGCTGAAGCGAATGGAAGTGACATTCGCAGTACAAGGCGCGCTTAAGACTCACCCAAAAATAATCGGCAAAGTCCACGGTCATGATGAACCACGATCAGACCATTGTAATGGGGCACTAAACGTATATCGGCTGACCGCACTGAATCACACTGCACTGCAGGTCACTGAGCGCGACTCCACGGGAATTTCACGTGAAAGCGAATCGTCAAGGGAGTTTGGTTCGTGATTGAGAAACTGGAGTGGATTTGTACGAAGCGGACGATGCTCAGCTTGCTCTCCCGTGTCTATGTTCGTTCTCGAGCGTCCCGAGGAGTCCCGAGCGAGCAGAACGGGCGCACTCGAGCGCGGAGACACGGCTCAACGTATTTCGACTGGACGTCCTTCTCTTTCCTTCTCCGACTCATGCTTTTGCTATCATATTCTCTTTCTTTAGCTTTCTGTCCTTCCTTCAGAAATCCGAACCGCTGCTGCCATCTTGTGTCTCGCCCGATACGAATTTTACTCGTGATCGGTACAGAATCACTAGATAACTTGAAATTCTAACCAATCGATATCGATTCGAGGTTTTGCTCACGAAATGAAATGTGGATCATAAGACAGGCGCTATGAAATTATTTAATCTAAAATTGTCTTATTTTAATATTTGAATTATCTATAACAGTTTTATTTGCTTGATTTATTCATTTTTAAAGCAACCGACTATCATTGTTGTGACAATTTCAAAAATGTCGGTATGCCGTTCACTTCATTCTTTAAAAAATTCTAATGAATATTCTATAAACGGATTAATAGTCAACAATAATCGTCCTTAATAGTGTCTGAACGATTATTACTGGATTGGCTGAAGGCAGAAGAAGTATTTCTTTTTTTTTATATGTGCGTATAACATTCGTTCTGTCGCAACAAAATACGTGTATCCTGTTATAACCAACGTATAACCAACGTAGATGCAATATCGTGGGTTCGGGTCGGCAGTGTATAGTGGACAGTCCTGGTTCCGGCGCAGTAGACCCCGGTAAATGATTGGCTGTTGATGGAGGCGCGAGTGATAGTGACGCCCTGTCGACTAAAGCGCCGCGACGCATCGGACCGGGTAAAAGTGTGGCTTAACGTTACCTCACAGCATCCAGCAGCAGCATCCCTCTCATCATCAGGGCGCAAGGTGCATCTCCTTAAGCAGGATCATCATCCTCACGAGGACGTAGACAAGGATGCCCGCAAACAAAATCAACCTGGTGACGTCGCACAAGGAGAAACCTGGAAACGGTTTCCCGGCTGCTTCATCCAAGAAGAAGAAACGTTCCTGCGTTAAACATAAAAAACATTGCAGGCAATACCTGGTAAGTGAACGACTGTCAAAAAGTTCTCTGAGACTAGGCTTCTTTCTAAATCTGAATTTATTAAGTCGCGTGGATGAAAATAAATCTCTGAGGATGATTAATCGGATCGTAAACACTCCTGAACTTTCTGTTTTTAACTCGATCTTTTAGCACGATTCTTCCTTGAACTTATTGCGCTAGTAAGTCTGTTAACCTCTTTCGGCGCCAATCGATTCGTGTTGCGAGTGTCTATGGACGCGACAAGTAATCCGATTATTCTGTCATTGCTGAGTTTTCGTCTGTTCGATTAAACATAGCAGATGTACATATTAGTAGTTTACACATGTCGACATATTATCTCAAAGCTGTACTTATAAGATACAAACTGTGTTGTGTTATTATGCACCTTCAATATAAAGAGAATATTTGAGAAAAACACGGTTTGGATGTTTATTTTTGCAACATTTCCTGCACTTGTTGAAACCCGTTGTCCTTTTACACACACAGTAGATATATACTATAATTATATGCATACTTATGGCACGTGAAAATTCATTTATACATATACATATGCTCCGATCATTCAATATTCTTCCTGATCAACCGGTTTGAAATGTACCCGAGTGCACGAAGTGCATTTTTAATCGGTGTTAATATTTTCGCATAACGTGCGTACTCTTGCTACTGACTTAATCTCCTCAACGATGGTAGGTATATTGAGATCGATTTAATCGGCGGTATATATATATATATATATATATATACTATGTATCATTTCCTTCCTATAGATACGAGAGAATGATTAGATCGTCCGTTATTGCACACAGCACGATAATTGGAGTATATTGAGATCGATTTAATCGGCGGTAAATCGGTGTTAATATTTTCGCATAACGTGCGTACTCTTGCTACTGACTTAATCTCCTCAACGATGGTAGGTATATTGAGATCGATTTAATCGGCGGTATATATATATATATATATATATACTATGTATCATTTCCTTCCTATAGATACGAGAGAATGATTAGATCGTCCGTTATTGCACACAGCACGATAATTGGAATGGCATAGTCCATAGAGTAACCAAGTGAGTAGTAATCCTCTTGGTAAGGTACTCTTACAATTATTACTGCCATGTTCTATACCATATAAGATTCCATATGCTACATAATATCCTAGGAACATATTAATATACATAATATATAGTATATTTCTGTATCTGAAAGTTCTAAGGCTCCTGAGGAGTACACAGAACGTTTCAATTCGAATGTATGTACTATTGATAATTGTCGAATAAGACTTGTACCTTCGAGTTGAACCGCCCTGTATAATGAGGCTCCGTAACAAGATCTTGCTCGACCTCGGTCCATATACTTGAAAATGGTTTTGCTTTTTTTTTCTCCTTTAACGAGGAGCAGCGTGCAATTCTCGTCTGCCGCAAGTCTTCTTACTGTTATCTTTATTATTTCTCGCTCATCCGTGCTATTGATTTCTAAGAATGCCAAGAAAAAAAAAGAGGTTGCTGCTGATTCGGCGGAAACAAAAGACGACACCAATTCCACTTCTCGCGCCCTCTCAAAACTCTTTCCATTATGGTTTGTAGAAGCTGCAAAAATCTCAGGGACGAATTGGCACGGTTTGCACGAACAAGAAATTCTTCTTGGTTCTTGGTCGAAGCTCTTGCATAACGAGCGCCCCCTATTGTTTTACTTTACGAAGTAAGATATAAAACTACCGTAGTCGAGCACGCTTACCACATGCAGCATGGGTGCACGGTAGCTGCTAGCTGGTATTACCATATGAATTAAAGTACCTGCTATTCAGTCTACCGTTCCGTCGAGTAATTCCGTACTCGAGTAACATCCTCGCGTTCTCGGCTAATCTCTGAACGAAAACGAGAGAAATAGAAACCGTAAAGAAAAGGATCTCCAGTGAGGAACTTTTATCAAAGGATACTTCACTAATTTCATGGCAGTCGATATCGCAGAGCTACGTGCCGAAAACTCGTTCGCATCAAGTCCTTCCTGAGGATATTGTGCGAGTGTTTGGTACCGACGATCGGTATTTCGAAAACTCCTTTGAGAGCATTATGGGCATCATGCTGCATTGCTTACCCGGTAGGTTCTAAAACGAAGCAAGATAAACAGGATCAGCCGACCGAGCCTCGTGAAGTAGCAGACTCTATTCTCTCTTTCTCTCCTTCTTTCCTACTGGCTCTCTTCCAATTTTATTTCCTCGGCACGACGCTTCGATCCGCGAAATTCTCACACACGTCCCCTTTCGCTACAAGATGTCGCAACTCCTCGCAGCCTGCGCCTCTGACAATGCGAATCCTTCGACCGGGACACAAGCGAAATACCTTAGTGGCTCTCTTTGACGAAGTTCTTTCTACTAAGTACAGCAGGACGATGGGAGTGGTTCGTGTTAAACGCTTGACCCATCACGAGTCCCAGGCTGGCCGTCAATTTATACGGCTTGATCGAGTACTTTTCTGTAAAGGTTTTCATGGTGTTTCAAACTTAAGAGTATTTCTGGTAGATCGTAGATAATGCATTGCGCACGATGGGAGCAGCTGTTGTGCATCAAAAGGAGAATCGCCGGCGGTTGAATGACGGAAACGGAAGTTCAGCGTATCCAGTCGCCATGGTACGTGCTACAGAAATATGCCTCGATGGGTTGTACATACATTGTTCTAGAACTACGAACAACTGTCACTTTATATCTTATTTGCGAGACAGTTACGGGGCAAAGAGTCATGTTCTCATGACCGCGATATTATCTGCGAAATATACGCGGAATTATATGCGACTTTACAAGCTCGGGAAAAAATGTAGGAAATCATGGAAGCGCCTCAAGCAGGAAGTCGCTCCTAATATCCTGGTTCCATTTAAATGTGCGAATATCGTATCCCGCGATGAAGAATCACGGAGGCGGTTTGCTGCTTGTAATTACAATAATTTCCAGCAATTAGCGTCAAATCAGCTGTACGTTATACCTGGGCACTCGCTCGAATAGTCGACTGGACATTTCAATTGACCCAGTTGCGCGGAGCCGACTATCCGCAAGGAATGCCTTTTTTCTTCGCTGTCTTTTTTTTTTTTTTTTTTTCAAAGAACCGTATAACAAACGTTGTAATGAATGCAAATGAAAAAAAGACGAATTGTGATTAGAGCCGAGGGTTCGTTAGGTTTTGGGATTACATGATAACGCGCAGTCCACCGCTTCCTGAATTTCATCAGGGTTAGAGGCTTAATTCGATTTGGCTTTTCGATTTTCCCGCAACGTGTATATCCCGTTGGACGGAGAAGCCGCATTGAATAACCTGCCGCTCCTGGTGTGCCTCCGAGGGTTCAACCACCCTCTTATTCCTTCTCGTACATACCTTCTACCACCTCTGACCACCCCTCCACCCCTCCACCCCTCAACGCACCAAGCCTCACCTCTGCTTTCGCAACCCGCATAGCCTGCCTCTACTTTCGCGCTATATCATAAATATCGAGGATTTTGTAGCGGGTTCAGGTTCCATTATATTATATACATATAAGCGCCAGCCGCCAGGGCGAAGCCACATGCGGCTCGAATGGCTTGGTCTCTCTAGCACGTCATGGAAGAACATTCCCCTGGATTTAGGTGAAGATCATTTGACTGCCTGGGAAATGATTACATTAACTGCCCGATAAAAGACTTCCGGGTTGCCATATTGGACCCTTTCAAACAAAACGGGGAATGTTCTTGGGGAAAAAGTCTTGTGTTAAAATGATAGGTCGTCTCTTACATCATATACGAAGATTAATTGTTCAGGGTAGGTAAGATGGATTCTGAGTAGGGACAATTGGCCTGAAGGTATAAAACCGAAGTAAGAGACAGGTATGGGGATGGTTCCGGTCTGCGGCGGAAGGTTATCCGCGTCGCGACGCTGGCTCTAAAGACTCGACGTCTCGGCGCCAAGCATGTGTGAAGGAAAAACGTAGTTGGTGGTACCGGCGTTGATTCCGATGGTGGTGGCAACGACGACGCCGATGACGACCACGACGCTAGTGAGGAGCTGCGTTGCGGAGTATCGACCGGCGTCGCAGCGCCTGCGCCCTTCGAGCGACGCCCCTCTACCCGTTCTCTGCCGTCGCGACGTCCGATCGGCACAAGACAGTGCCTCCCACGATACGTTCTCGTTGCGGTCGCATCTTTAGCACGTCCACGTTCACGTCCACGTTCACGTCCAGGTCTTCGTCTTCGTCTACGTTCGCGTTAACGTCAACGTTCACGCACCGGATTCGCCCGAATGAGGATATAAAATAAGAACAAGAGATTCCGAGTTCTCGGCCAATTAAACGGTGTGAAACGTGCTTCCGGTGCTTCCGGTGCTTCCGGTGCTTCCGGTGCTTCCGGTGCTCGCAGTCTAGAGTGGTAGTTGGTCCTTGCTTCTACACTCTCTTTGCTCTCTCTCTTTCTCTCTTTCTTTCTTTCTTTCTCGCCCTTCTTCGCTCCTTCTTTCTGATTCACTGCCAAATTTTCAAGAAACGTCCCTGACAGTCTAACCGATCAAAAGATCAAAAGCCGCAAACTCTGTCCGCCTTGCGCCTTACGGAATTCGCGAGAAGATGGAGCAGTAGCCCCCAAGTGGGCCTCCTCGTCGCTGCCGCCACCGTTACTCTCAGCGTCTACGTCGCCGTCTTCTTCGTCCAGACTTTTTCATCCACGCTCCGTTCCTTTACCAGCATCTCCATTCTCCCCTCTTCGCTGAGTCTCCTCGTATCCGGCAATTTCCTTTTCCGGTTTTCCGTCCTGCCGTACGTCAATCGACTTTACATTATTCGGCACAGTGCAAGATAGCAAAGGAAGGCGTTTAGGAGTCGAGCGCTAATCGGCCGACGAACTAGAAGAAAGGAGCGAAGGAGGAAAAGAGACAAAGGAAGTGCAAGAGCTCGAATAGAGAAGAAAAAGAGACAGAAGTAGGGGAAGGTCTAGAAGAGAGAAGGAAAAAGCGCGCGCGCGCGCTCTAGCGCGTTCATCGAGAACCCGAGAGGAAAGGAGCAAGAGGGTGAAAGAGACACGTTCAGATTGTCACCGCCTTGACGACGACGTCGACGACGAAGAATCCTTCGAGACGGCCTGACCTGACTTTGCGTCAGCGTCCGTCCGTCATTGAGGTCGCTCCCTCGGCTGTCTCACTGTTCCACTGCCCCACAACCGCGGCCTCATGATTGGTTCATTCTGGAACCTGTGTCGTGCGTGCCCTTCAATGCCGATGGACAAGGTGAGATCCTGTGACCGGTGTGACCGGTGTGACCGGTGTGACCGGTGTGACCGGTGTTCCACCTTCGAATCCTGCTCCTGCCGCGAGGCAGGATCCTTGCTTGTGCTTAGAATTCCCCGATCTTGCGTGACTGAGATACGACGGAGCTACGGCTTTTCCAGGTAGGAAAGGCTACATTTTTTCTACTAGAAGTTACGAAGGGCGCGTCGGTGCGTACGAGGGGTTCTCTGCGTTCCCACGTATCCGCCCCTGTCGCCCTTCCCTCGTGCCTCGCATGGGTGCGGTGTACACCGGAATGTCCCGGGGCCGCCGAGTCGCCCACGGGAACCTAACCTAACCCCATGGAAACGTCTATTCGTTGTAGAAAAGTGATCATAACTTTGCAGTCCCCTACGTTTTTCTTTATTGTCAAACTTTGGACGTTTGTCGTTCTATAACGACGTTGTACTTTAATCTATGCTTCTTTTTTTTCCCACCGTACTTTCAGACGCCCGACGCCGTGCGTGTATCGTTGCGTCACTGACTGCGACAAATGAAACTGCTTTCCCTTCGATCCACCTTCTCCAGTGCAGAAGCGCCGTCAATCTCGCCCACCTTGTCAAGTCTGTAAAGTTAGCAGGAACCGAGCATGGATCACGCTATTGAGATCCTTCGCGATCTTCCACGCCGAATTACGTCATCCATCCAAAATACACGCATTTCGCTCTTCATGCTAGACGCACAGACGCCTGGCGTCAACGTGGATGCGATGAGTCAGAAAAGTGATAAATACCTTTCTTTTTTCTTGACAGCCATTTCTCCTTGCCTTCGCACTGCTAGCAGCTCCTTTTCAATTGGACAATCGACATTACCTCATTACCTGTTGTACAGTAGATACGAACAATGCCGGCCGGCCGGGAACTCTGAATTACGAAGTGCCGGCCGGCACTTCGTGGCCACGTTTCCTTATCCTCAAAGATATCTCGAGTTCTAGCTGACCTCTGTAATTTCAGATCGCAGTAAGGATTTAGCGTAGATGCACCAAGTAGAAATGCAGAATCTTCAGTAGACTTGAAAAAAAGAAGCAAAAGAATGACTTCTGCTTTTGCAGTGGCGCCGCCAATCAATGGAAAATTATGCCAACGAAATTGGCGTGTTCGCCGCGTTGCCAGGTTGGTGCCGCATAGTGCGCGGCCCTGGTTCCCCTCAATGTATTTCTTCTTGCTCGCCCCCCTCCCCCCCGGCGTGCTTCCTCCCGCAGCAGCAGCACCTTCCCTCCCGTAAAGGCAGGCACAAACTGCGCGGCTGGGACAAGGACAGCCGTACTCGGGAATTTGGGCGCCCTTGTCGCACTCGCTGGCAGTAGGCAAACCTATAGGAGAATTATGGGAGGTTGGAAGGCTAGAAGGATAGAGCGATAGGAAGCAAGAGGGCCAGTCCTGTCGGAGGGAAGGATGGAAGGGGAAACGAAGAGAGGCAATGCGCCACTCTATAGCAATCTATTTCCCCGGTACGTTGACTCCGACTGCTCGCAAGTCCCGTTCACAGTTCGCCATCACATTCAACTATACACGAGGATTCATCTACGTAGCGAGGTAGCTACGTGGTTTAGCGTAGCAGTGACAATATAGACAAGAGGGCACGAGTGTACAAGAGTCCAGGGTTAGAAGTCAATGAGTGCCGGTTATAACGTCATCGTGCGAAATAAAAGAGAGCCCAAAGGAGACTCATTATGTAATGCACTGTAGTGTCGGCTCAACTCGACTTCTTAAACTTTAGCACATTCGTGAGCTGCATGCAAAGTCCCGCTGTGCTACTCTATATCTATGTATATAAAACCTTTTCTTTCTCCATCTTCGCTTTGGCAGAGAAATGAAAACTGCCGGAAAATGTCTGACGCCCCTTCCACCAGTCCTGAAAAATGAGAAATGAAAAAGGAAGAAAAAGAAGAGTTCCGCACGCTACTCCGGATAAGCATAATCAAAACGAGGAGGAAGAGAATGGCCGCGAATTTGGTCGCGTCTCGGTTGGCTGACTGGTTCATTGGCTTTCTTGCCTTTAACTCCCGTCACTCGTCACGGCCGTCACGGCCGTCACCGTTACCAGCACGTCTCGTTCTCTCCGTCCGACTGTCCGTCCGCGCCGTTTCAGTCGTTAGCGCGACGCAGCGCAGCTCGGTTCCTCGCGTTCTTTATTCTCCAGCTAGCAATCCTTTGGGATTCCCTGAGCGCTCCCCGTCCTAGGATCCACTGCAATCGGCCTCGATACGTGCATACAGAGAATTCGGTGAAGTGTCCTAGACTAAGGCAGGTTTCGATCGGGTCGACGAACGAGCAGGAGGAGCGCTGCGGTTCGCTGCAGTGGCTATGCGACGCGAGCGCTGCCAACAGGTTTAATAGTTTGCTTTATCCTTTTATTTTGGCCTCACCCAGCCTCATCGCCTTACTTCACCTTACTTCACCTTGGTTCACCTTGGTTCACCTTGGTTCACCTTGCCTGACCTCACTCGCTTAACCCCTCGGAATCTCCTCTACCTCTCCCAGACCTTTATCGATCATTCTAGTGGTTCCAATGCTCCTCGCACATAGTGATTATCAGAAATTGTAATCGGAGTATTCGTTCGCACGTTGCTATCGGTCTCCGAGGACGACCTACTGCCATCCTCTTTAGGAAATCCCTAGGAGCCCCTCTGAGCGATGCGAGTGCAACACGCAAGGAGGAAGAGCAGCTGCCTGTCGCAAGACCAGTTTTCTTGAGTAGGTCGCACGCGAATGGATAACCGAGTCCTGGATCATTCAATTGATTCGTCTGCGTGTCCCGTCGGTTCATTCTTTTTTGACCTTCTTGTCTCTTGCAATTCTCCTCCGGCGAGTTCAGTGAAATTAAAGCTGCCACTTCGAACGATCGACTCTCTTCTTCTTCTTCTTCCTCCATTCTTTCCTTTAGCTTCTCTTTAATGCACAGATCGCTTAAAGAAATGTTGCCAGGAATCGCTTAACACTCTACGCCACAGGCTGCGCCATTAGGGTTCCTGAAGTCAAACTCCTAGGGAATTCCGTGCACGCAATATCCCGAAATACAGCTTCACTCCGAACTACCTCCTTCCTACCGTCTCTCTCGCTCTCACTCGTCTTTCCTCCTCTTCTCTGTTCCACACTTGCACACTTGCCTCTGTTCCAATTTGAAAACACATCGACGCTTTTGAAAAATGCTACCAGCCGGCACACGAGTACCAATCGCGGTAGCACAAGAGCAATGGCAACGTTTATTCAGCACACTAGGAAACGGCTGCGTTTCCACCACACTCGGGTGGACCAATTGACAATTCGGAAAGGAACAGATGACGATACAGCCGCTGCTCAAGTCTTTTGTCACGCGCGTCTAATTGCTAGACGTAACTTCGTTTCGCAGTTGATTAATCGCGACAAGGCTCCGTCTAATTTTCTGAATGATTAACCAGCGTGGATTGGAACATCTTCAGGGAAAGATTTGAGGCTCGACGACGGAAGAACTCACAGTAGATTTCCCTTGATTAATACTATTATTATAGTTGGAGAATATTGTACGTAAGCCTTTGAAGGTATGTACGAAGGGTATACGAAGCTATATCGTAGTACAAGGTAAAAAGTCTTCGATAATCAGAGCCATTAGTTTGAACAGCTGGAATCATTAGGGCATTTGGGTGCGGCGCACCCGGCAAACCTCGGGTACTCGGGAACCACGAGGTTGCCTTTAATAAATTAAGACGATAAATCGATATTCGCTCGAGCGACGCACAAGAGGGCTCCTTTCCAGCCGCACGTGAACCTGTGTGTATGCGATATAAAGGCGTCTCACGTTTACGCGAAGAACCAGGTAACCGGGCAATCAACCAGCAATCAGACGTACCAAAGCAGCGCGACTGAGCCTCATTCTGATTCCTTACGTAGATGTGCACACACCATGGACGCAGCTTCTGCTTTTTCCGTAGCTCGATATTATTTTTCTCCCACTACGCACGACAACCGGGTGAATTTCCATGCATTTGTAATCTATAGCGAATCGTCAGAGGGAACTTGTGCAAGGGAGATGAAAAAGGATCGCTGGACTCTTTTCTCCCATCCTATGTAATTCTTATAGCTCAACTTTATCTCCCTTTAAAGATAATATTACGGCAACACTCTCGTTGCTCGTTTTCTCGCATGTTCAGACTAGGAACAAGTCGGTCTCCGGTAGACTTCGACTGTCCAGGTGATATTTCTAGGTTTTCACTCTGACCGATATCGAGCCTCCTGCTCACTGCTGCTCACCGGCCCGTCCTCCTGGCCTATGCCTTGGCGTCGTTGTTCCGCTCGTGTATTTTGAATCCAAAAGCTCCGACCGAGGACTCGGTTGCAAAATAAAAAGAAAAAATTGTCTCAAGCCATTATAGGCAGGTAGAGAAATTGCCCAGAGAAGATTTCATTGTGTTTCGCAAGAGAAAAGGTACTAGTTTGGTTAGTTCCGTTTTATTAATTATAATATTGGCAAGACTAACATTCGTATTGTTAGTCGCATTATTAGCATTTCATTCGACCGAGAGTAATCAGTCAAAGTCTAATAATCGCCCCTCGTCTCAGAGTAAAACTTTGCTCGATGCTTTAATGTGGATCCGAACATACTTTATGTTAATTTTTAATTGAGAAATTGGAGAACAATCTACGATCGATTGAAAATAATGAACCTCCGAGAAGAGAAAAGAGTCATAAGAGCTTGGAGCTTTTGCAAATGGATTATGGAAGCCCCAAGCATCGACCTGGCTGTCTATCTATCGAAACCTTGTAGTGTATTTTAATTGGTACGACAAGCTCTAGGAGCTTGAGTTTAAAAAAAATTATTCTCAGCCCCCCTTCTTACCCCTTTCGATACGAAAACTCGACATCTACGCATAATCATCGAAAAGTCATTTTCATTACCTTTTCTTTTCATTTGATCATCCGACATATGTATCACTAGCTTTCTCATACTTCCATTGCAGTCCACGCAGATCATTTTACTAAGAGTTTTCGTGATGGCTCCCCGTCACGAACGCAAAAAGCTGCCTGCTGAAGTCTCAGAGAGTGCTTTCAGTTAGGCTGACACGAAACAATGCGTGATTCACGTTTGTAATGCAATGCGGTGTCCTTTTATCTCGGCCCAATGAGGAGGATGCAGGAGAAAGGAAGGAAGGAGGGATCGTCGTGGAGAAGTCCTCAATGATGATCTCTCTCTCTCTCTCTCTCTCTCTCTATACATATATATATATATATGTATATGATAGAACGAGAACGACAGACTAAAGGAAAGTGTCTGGCCTGTTTCAGCAGCTCCATTCAGAGTACAGGAGCACCTACACATGGCACGAGTACACAGGGCCGCACCAGGAACACACGGTGGTACGTCGGGCGCCACAACCGCCAACGACGTCCAGTAAGTTTGACAACAATGTTCCTCATTAATTGATATCTTGGTCATTATATTATATATATTATATATTTTTTATATATATAGATGAATTAGAATTTCTTTATTCCCGTAAGATGAGCGTCAATGACAATTATGAATCGGTAACGCCTATAATAAACCTATAATATACTGGATGTGTACCGAATCAACAGCTTTGACGTGACGTGTATAGCGAATTCCAATGGGACGACGATTAACACGTTGATCTTGGTCCCCTGGTACCGATTTATCGTTGCAGCCTGCGAGTTCCTATGTTACGTTTTATAGCTCGTTTATACATAAGATTATACTGAAATTGCAATTAGTCGTTTTCGTGCTACTTCTTCATCATCACCGTTTATCGCACTCCACGTTATCACTTATACTCGTGATTAATTAATTTCACTGTCGGTGTTGTATTTTGTGTAATCGTCTACGCTTACGTAGATGCATTATAAATGCCTTGACTCGGTAATAAATTTTCTATGAACCAGGTGCCGTTCGACTCTCGAATGCTGCGAGGATGTAAAGTTTCTCCGTTGGCACGTTGTGCAATTATTCTATCTAACTAGAGAGAACGGTCGTGAGACAAGAATGAGGCTAGGGGATGATGAATTAATAAGTGCAGGTGTACCAAGCGGGAACGATTTCGATCGAATTTATCATTAAGTAAATTGAACACTACGTTCTTTAGTAAATTTTCAAATTCTTACGCAGAGCCAGTCGGCTGAATCGTACTGTTTCTTTGACAGCTGTCAAATCCATCTGTTGCGTTTCAGTTGAATAGCCCTGTACACTTTTCGTCCAGCTGCCCTTAAGAATCCACTCTGTGTACATATGCGATTGGTGTTTGGTATGATCAGAGGAAAAAAGAAAGAGAACAAAATCAGAAGCTGTGTCGATCAGTCATCATCATTAGGATTGCGCAATCTTCGAATCGCTTTAGTAATCGGCGGGCGCCAACGGAAGTTCAAATTGGCCGGTCGGAATGCCGGAAAGTCGAGAAGGAAAACAGCAGCCTAGAAAATTTCGGTGGGCGCTCGTTGTCGGGACGTCGCGAGGCTGCGGTTCCTTCCAGGAACGATTCCGACGGCTTAGCTTAGAGTAGTACCCTAGAGAAACGTGCCAGCTGCGAATTTTGATTGCAGCGAAACAAGCGAATGCGAAGCTACAGTCGGCCAAGTCAACCGAGGATGAGAACAGCGAAGGTAAGAACGTGCGGTCGGCCCTAAGATGGTTTGTAATGCGTTTACCTGTCGCAGGAGATTTTGCGATTCCGATTTTCCGAATGCCTGCTCTTTACTTATACTTTACATATATATATACATACATTCCGTTATACGTATCGGATTCACCATTCCCAGTAATACGCCACCCCCACCCACCCTCAGTCTAGATCACCTTGATCACCTTGATCACCCTGAAGATACCCACCCTCCACCAAGTAAGCCCCAAGGAGTAGACAGCGGTCGTGTTTCCTTCGGGAGATGCGATCCTCGTTCGACATTCGTGCAAAATATGTACACGCGCACACACACGAAATTGGGCGAGCGGGTTCTTCAGATTCTCCTAGAGAATCGAGGATCGAGGATCGAGGATCGCATCTCGGACGAGGCGCATGATGCATGAGCTAGAATGGAAACCTTTTGACTTCCTGTTGTTTCCCAGTTGAGTTGCGAGACACCGCATTTCCATTGACGTTCTTTACAAGATGCGCCGACGGGTACACAAAGGTCAAGATATTCATTCAAGTTAGGATACAGCAGTGCTCAATAGCACAACAAGGAAAGTTTTCTAAGATGGAAAATCGTAACCTAACCTCTTCGTCATACGAATCATCAATTTGTATATTTTTCGTTCTCGTGTGTCCGTCGGTGCATAACTTCTGCCTGGATAGTGGATACCGTGCGACATGGTTTCAAGTGTAACGATGCGTAACCCTTGATAATACTCCCAAGGGTGACGCATTCTACATAAGCGCGGAGGGTTGATTCGCTTCGTTTTTTATATCGGATATAGAAATATTTTTTCAGCCCTAACAAAAGACAATACAAGTAGGTTTACCCTTCGCGTCGATGAAGACCGATTCGCTCGTTTATCGTAAGATTGACACTTCCCCGTATCTATATACTTAATAAGTGTTATTCTAATCGTTAGTCTCGCGATTCGTGAGAATTTACGGGAAATGACCACCCGTGCGTCCATCGCGATATTCACGCCAAACCAGCACCAATTTGTACCGAGCGACCAATCGTTATTTTTCGCAGTCATTGAATTTGCTTGGCTGCGAACGAGGACTGGGCCGCCGACTCGTGGAAGCTTCCTCCGACCCTTGACCTACGAAATCCCATAACTTTGAGGATTTAATCCTTGAACCCGTAATGTCTCTGGAATTTCACAGCTTGTTGTCATTTTCGTATTTCATTGTGTTTAAAAAGAAAAATGGTTGTCTGACTCGATCCTGCGGCCCGGCCCGTGCTCCTCTTTCTTGCTAATCACTCAGCAGGATCTTCCTTTTTCTCGAATCGTCATGATCTTCGTATATGCAGTTTTACCTTTCTTTCTGCTTTGTATGGCTTGACGTATCACGATTTACCATAAATTTTAGTTTGTCACTGATACCACCTTAAGAGCGCTCGGCTGTGATCATTAATTTTTATTAGTTGGTAGTAATTCAAGGCTCGCTGGATGTATTTTACCATTAGATACACTCACTATACAATTCCACCAGGGAATTGGATACAGCAGAAAACACGATTCTGGATCGGTCCGTATTTTAAAGCACGTGCAATATATATCTGTAGTACAGAGCGTTCTTCTCTTCGTATCTAATAATAAAAACAATGAAAGACTTAGCAGAGGAACGTGTCGATCCAGGTCGTGGCGCTTTGCTGAAATGCTGATTGGATCGTCGTACAGATCCTTTTGAGCTGCTCGACCTTCAGCCAGTGTAACGGGCACTTTGTATTACAGGACCAACCCTTGAGCCGCCATTGCCAAGACGAAAGAAATGCCCGGAACTTGCCTACAAGACCCACGAGTTCATAAACGCTCCCGACGGAGGCGGTATAGATGGGATCGACTCTAATGTTGTTGCTGACAAAGTCCGCGTAAGCTCCATGCATATTTTATCTACGAGGACCACTGAAAGACAGAAGAATACTTTCTGGAGGAGACGTCTATTGGTTGATTGTACTGTCGACAGGAAGTAACGGCAACGTCTGCACTTCCGCCGAGTCAACTAAGCAAAGCGATTTCCCGGATCAGCACCGAGTATCGACTTCAATTCGCTTGGCCCAGACGTCCTCAACTCACTAATGGAGAAGCCGTGGCTCCGGTTGCTCCTGCAGGAGGTGCTGCCAGCACGGCGGGACTTCCTAGAAAATCGTTGAGCATGGGCGCCCTGAAGCAGGGCATAGGACCAACGGCGCCGGCGCCGGTTCATAAGAAACGATCCGGCGACGTCGATCACAAACGAGACGGTAATTCTGGGTTACTTTTCCTCTGTGAAAATAGATCACCAGAGAAACTGTCGAATGGTTGGTTATTCGCACTTTTTCCCACAGGTGTTCAAGCGTCGGAGCTGGAGCCGTTGGTTGGAGGACGCGGCGCCGACGCTATCGATGGCGTCGTACTGGAAGCCGATGAACGCGAGGAGGATTTGTTGGAGCTTAAAGTAGCCTTCAGGTCAGGCATCCATGATATTGATTATACGTCAGTTTTCTTCTCATATTGTTATGAAAAGAAAAAGAAAAAAAAAAAGAAAAAGAAAAGACCTTAATTCTCGTGAGATTGATAAATCTTGAAGAGTGGACAGCGGGGAATATAATAAGGAATCTACGATAGTCCCGGCTCTTATCTAAATTAATTGTTAAGCTATCAATGGTGGTTCCTTATTTACAGGGGTAAAAGATCAGTAAGTAAGACCGTAAGGATAGCCGACAAGGATGATTCTCGAGCCACGAAGCCACAGAAGAAAGCATTTCCTACGGCCGAAGTAGCCGAGCTAAGACGACTCGCCGATGAGTACAAGGTAACTCATTGTCCTTAGGAGAGTCGATGGTCGTCTACGTCCTTGGTACTCGTTCTTCGCCAAGTTCTGCTGCAGTCGTCCGATATTCTCTATCAATTGTTTCGCTTTCACTTCTTTTTCTTCATTCTTATTTTTCAACCTTGCGTTGATCTCGTCGCGTGCTCGTTCCACGTCTCTACGTATTGTTCTTATGTCCCTCCATACTTCTCTGGTTGTCTTTAAAACGAGCAGCGCGATTTCCTCGTTCCGTTTAACCGATTGTTCCCAAGAGAAAAAGAATCCTCAGGACTTGATGGACGGTACTCGTGTCAATGGCGGACAGAACGATTCCTAATTGTTTCTCGTAACAGAGCCGGATGTTTTAGACGTCATCCGGGATTTTATCGAATTTCTATCCAAGTCTGCATGTTTTGTGTCTCGTGGCTTGTCCGTTGGTGTTCTTATTGAAGATTATCTTTATGTGACTGAAACTTTGATCGAATAACAAACAGATGGTATGGTTTTCTTTTTTTTCATTACACATTAGCATCGCGACTGGGGCTGCGGGCTGGCGGCTGAAGACGAAGCGTCCCTCTGGAAGCGTGTCTCCTGTAACCACGCGCTCGACGCTCTGTCCCTTGCCAGGCCAGTAAATCAACGCACATTCCCATCGGAAGGACAAGAATATTTGCCTTCTCGTATTTAAGGAAATTTTAATTTATTTTGGGAAAGAACAGTCCTTACGAAGGACCATACTCTGACTGTTGACTATTCAACCGGAGTTGTTCTTCAATGATCTCTTTGATAATTAATTCTCTTGGAATTATACGTTCCCGTGAAATCGGCTGAGCTATCTTTACATGGGCTCTGTCGTAGTTATCCTTTATTTGTCCCCCGTCGAGTCTGCTTTATTTTAACGTGGTGAAAATCATCCTGAAGCTTGTATATTTTAATAGCAGGTCTGTCACCAAGGAGGAAAAGGAGAAGGAGAACACGAGAAAGGTCGGACCGGCACCGGCACCAACGACCACGATTCCACCAGCAGGTCGACCCTCCTCTGTTCACACCAGACCGATACACGGAATCCTCCAGGACGACACCAAGGCGGTGAGTAAACTATATAAAGGATGATTCAATTAAAGATAAATATTGGTACAATCTTCGACAGGATAATGATAGAGCGATTGCTCGCGCAAGAAAGGATTTCTTGATTCGCCATCATCTAGATCGTACCACCGGAGTCGGTAAATATATTACTTAACAGTCATTTTTCTCTTTTTCTCTTTTTCTCTTTTTCTCTTTTTCTCTTTTCCTCCAAGGTGCCATTATAGAATCTTATCCCTGTGCTTGCACTAGGCGACGGAGCGCTGCTTCCCTCTCCGACAAGAGAGAAGTTGGAGCCAGTGATTCCGCGTCGACGAGAGGATTCTAAAGAAGCTCGCGAAGAGATCCAGCCGAGGACTAAATCTAGTCCAAAGAATAGTCCTCGTACAGGACGCTCGCAGAGCTTGGGACCGAGTCTTGCTGAGCGCAGATCACCGAAGCGGCAGCCGCCACGGGCACCGTCAGTCACTAAGGACGCTAAGGTATACTTCAACTTGTTTATGGAAATTCTTAAATCTTCGATATTCTGTTACGCCTATTATCGTAGGATAAGGATAAAGACAAGGAGTCGAGAGATAGGAGCATCGAGCCTGAGAGGCATCCACGACCAAGTGAGTAGCCATATTAAGATCCCGTTACTACTCTCTGCTTATTATTGAGTCTTCGAGAAAGTCGATTAATTAAATATCGATTAAAGTTTTATCGATAAATGTGTCCCTGCTCTACAAATATATATATATATATATATATATATATATGAACTAGGATTCTCTTGCATTTTCGTGCATACACTGAATTGACTAGAGTATATCATTGGAATTTGGACTGTTGTCTCTGCTCGTTCGGCTCTTGAATTCTTTGGTAAAAATAACGTATTATAACATAACATACGTAAAACACATATACACGTAATACGTACAAAATCCGACCGAGCCGGATGTCCCGTCTTCACGATATCCATTGTCTATCATGGGAGATGATATTACCAATTGTCATAGAGAATACTGATAACCATCTGTTAACAGGTAAAGAGACGTACAACTCTTATCGGATAGATAGTGGCTGTAGTGAAGCACCCCTTGATACACGAGAACACTTAATGTTTAGGGAGATGCATGATGGACCTTTATATATTTGTTACTATCTCTATACCTCTGCCTAATATCCCTCGTCTCTATAGTTTCTAGTCAGCCTTTAACATCGAACTATTTTACTTAACGTCTAAGCAGCTTCCCAGGACGATCCTATATTAACTTATCATACGAGTACACGGATGCTCCGGCATGATTCTGATGAACACGAACAATATATTTCCATCCCCGTGTGGTCAAATAGCTAGCTATACATACAAATATATCTTTATATATACATACATGCTATAGTCATGGCTCAAGGATTATTCATTTTTGTGGATGACCATAAAGAGGCTCCATGAGAATGATGATGAACTTCTAAATTGTTGAGCAATATACAGCGACGTCATAGCTCCATACACTTCCGGTACATATGAGAATACGATGGTCAGGGCTTATCAAAACTTTCTCATACGACTGCGAAACACCTCATTGCCAGTATCACCACCGCCATCACAGCACAGCCAGTAATATTAACGACAGAGCACTATTGACATTGACAATACATTACTCAGAGTTGAAAGGTCAAGACATTCCTGGCTGGATAGGAGGATAAAGAATCTTCACACGTCCTTCACTCGGCGCCCCATATATGGTACATATGTATAATATAATACACACAACGTCGATCGAATCTATTGTATCTAGCGTTAGTCGTGTCGGCGGGCTACTGCCTTCCTTATATTTGAATGTTCCATTCAATTGAGTAGAAAGGTTAGGAATGGAGGGGCTGTTTCAGCCGTGGGTGGTCGCGTCCGATGGAGCATAAGAGAACCTTCCTCCACTTGCTCCGCTTTATCGACGAGCGAGCCGCCTATACCACCGTTACCGCCGCCACCTTCGGGCCCGGGGCCGACTCCGCTCCACAAGAGGCCCCCTCAAACCTACCGGAAATGTACGTTCAGTTTGTCCGTCATTCGCATCTCTCATTCCTCATGCCACATTCCATCTTCAGTCGTTCATTCATCGACTCAGTCGACGCCTCTTTATTAGCGAGCTTCCTTCGCGACATCGTTCCGCCACGTGGATCAGAATCCCTACAGCGAGTAACGTTTCCTGCGGCTTTCGTAGTAGAATAAATGATTTCCATTTACGTCGGCCCGTGATATTGATATATTGGACGGACGTGTAAACGTTACTCGCTGTTGTCTCATTTATCCTCGAAAGTTCTAAGGCTCGAATCATCATCCTCTAGGATCTACTCTTGGCACCAGAAAGAGCCCAAAGAACTAGCATTCATTTGAGCCTCTGTATACGCCATGAGACAGCTCCATTTTGTATCGTTCTTCCTGTAGGATATCATGGCTCTGATCCTATGGCCAGGATTGATCGTCGGTGCAACAAGTACGATTGTCATTAACGGAGGTGCATTAGATAATTATAATCTCATATTCATTGTCAGAATCTATTTAGTTTTAAACTTTTCATTCATACTCGTGCACTGTCGTCTTGTATGTACTTGTTTGATAAATATTACTAATCGCGATCGATCCATCGCCATTCGAATTTCCTTACGCAGACGTGATGAAAACGAAGCAAGACGACAGAGTGAACGGAAGTCAGGATATGTAGAAGAGCTATATGTGTGTACCGTATCCCTCTATTGTAAACAGTGGAGAAAAAGAGAAATGAAAAAAGATGGAATCTCTCTATTATAATAGTTAGGAATATCCTTTACGGTAATGTAGCGAATCAGGCAAAATGTACTTGTACGATTGGACGATCGCTTACTGTATTTGTACGATATGTTCTAGCCTCCCTCGCAACCACTGCTCCTCCCCATCGCCCTCTTCATCATGCCAAATCCGTAAGCGCAGTAAAACACCCGGTAAAACATTCAGTTCATTCGAACGTCACTCACCACCAGCACCCACAACAACCACTTCTACCGCTACCATCTACCTCAGCTACCTCCATCACCTCAGCTACCTCAGCTACCTCAGCTACCTCAGCTACCTCAGCTACCACTGCTGCCGCTGCAGCCAAACTGGAGCGCGTAAAGCATGCTCCGTGCCAAGGTCAGACTCAGGGCCCGAGTCAAGCTCAGGTCAAAACAGTTGGCCCGCCAGCTGCTGCAGCAGCGGCTGCCACTCCACAACCATCCAAATCGTCCTCTGATCCGCGATACGCGAATCGAGCTACCGCCGGCCAAGCTAGTAAGTAGCATGCAGCTCCGAGCTTTCGTCGACACCCCCTGACACCAACACTGTGACTCGTGGGGTACGCGACGATTCCTCCTGTTCTCACTTCACGACACCGCTTCTTATATGCTACTCTTCGTTGTCTATCAGTTACTCGTTTTTTATTGTTCTTCACGTTTCTTCTTCTCCCTGCGTTCTCTTTTATGCTTGAGCTTTCTTCTTCCGGTCCCTTCTCCAGCTCCTGCCGATTAATCCTATTGTCTTTCAGTTCCTCGATCATTCGTCATGAATCGTGAGCGAATAACGTATTTATCTTTAGTAAACTGGAGGCCCTATATAGGAATTGGATAAAACTATTATTCGTTATCTGCTCACCGTTAAGCTGTGCTTCTTCCCAAACTATCCACTCTCCAAGAGGTTTCCTTGAATCCGACGTGCCTCTGACTATCGTTGCTCTATCATCGCATATATCCGTCGTACTACTACAACTCCGTGTTTTTTGGTGTATAGAGTAAGTTCTGTCGAGTGACCAGTGTATAATAATATATCTGTATGTACATATATGGTTGTGAGTAATTGAGCATTAATAGCTGTCTTTTACCTATCCTCATGCAACCCTATCGCATATAACGTTTCGTACTGAGTACTGATTGTCAGTGTTAGAACAGTATGTAAATAGTACACTCTGTTATATCCGTCCGTAAATGTATAATGTACCATACATAAAGAAATCTCATTGCTCTGGCGCACCTTCTCCTAATGTAAGACGCAAGCGCCTCACCTGCACTTCATCTTCCTACTTGACATAAGCTGTTCACATTTTGAGTGCGAAGCTGACCAATTCTCAGGACTGGACATAAGAATGCAGTGGAGTGTCCAGGAGGATGATCAGGTGCAGGTTCCTGTCTTCAAAGAAAAGGTATTAAACTTCCGGATAAGCCTTAGATTTCCATAATTCCAGTGACGGCCGAGCCACAGCTCAACGGAGATGCAACCGGAGGGGAATCGAGCGTAGCGTCGACACCACCCTCGCAGGCAACCGCAGCAATGCCAAGCGGATCATCGGTTATAGCAGCCAGTCCCTGGCTGGACGACGAGCCCGTGGTGAAGAGTCCTCCGGAACCAACCCGCGTCAAGTCCCCCGAACAGATGATCATGCGCTCTCCAGAACCCGTCAATTGGACAGTACCTCTAGACACGGGAAAGACATTCACCGTTACGCAAAACGTCCGGGAAGGTCGGTAATCGTGATCACGAGTGAACGCCTCTTTGTACTATCTTGAAATGTTATTTTGACTCATTCTGAGATTTGTTACAGGAGAACCACTGACTCGGCCCCATAGCGAGGCGAAAACGTGGGCGCCGTCCTCGGTACCGTCAGCTCCGCAGTCTGCACCACCCGAATTGGCTGCGCAGCACAAATCTCAACATTCGCATTACTCAGGGTACAAGTCACCGGAGAGCGAGAGCGTCTCCCTCGGGAGCTTCAGCGGTCTCAACGGGCACAAAGATCTCGACTCTGAGAGAGACAGTCCTCTGCCTATGAATCTTCAGGGCACACCTACCCCAACACAAAGCGATAAGGTATGTATTTACGGATCTTGATCTAGATCATTTGGATCACGCCCAACGATTGCTACATAAGGTTGATAACCGTGAATGTTTCCAGGCTCCCATAGACGTTATTGGCGAGCAAACGAAGAACGAAAGATCAGAGCCAGCAATAAAACCGGTAGCGGGAACAAATCTTAGATGCCTGGAGGATCCGGTCTTTGAATTCGACCGGAAGAAGGAAGGCGATCTGTCGGTCGCTGGCCTTCCGCAACAGGGTTATCGTGTGCTGGAAGCTGAGTCTCCTGAGGCAACTCCCGGTGCTCCAGGGGTGGTAGGCGGAGGCGTGAGTAGCGCGCCTACTGCAACCAGTGGCGTAGGTAGCGGTGCCCCTGTCATCGCCGGTAGCGGTGGTTATCATGTTCTCGAAGCACCAGCAGTCAGTCCTGGTTCCACTCAGCGTTCCGTCACCAGTGACGTTCTCGAAAAGGCTCGTACTCGCTTCGACAAGTTCTGGGGTAAAGGCGGCGCCGAAAATTAGATAGGTTAGAATAGGCATTAAACTCGTCGAGACTACAATTAATTCGCGTGTTACGAGAAGTTACTTGTTCTGGTAAAGTGTGAGAATCACACGGCTCGGTTACGGCTCTTCTTCGACCAGCGCTGCTCCTGATGCGTTAGCTTTTATTTTCTTTTCCAATAAATTTCATCTTCTTTGTCGACGCGATACAGTTGTCTCGATCCAGCATCACAATGAAGTCGAAGCAGCCATGGTTTTAAATATAATGGTAATGTGGTGGGTAAAAGTAGAAACGCCAATGACGGCAGTTCTATGAATTCGATACAGAATATCACACTTTGTCAGTTCAAGTCGACGCTATCGAAACTTATTCTGCAGGTAATTCAGTATAATAGTATACTAGTTACCGTTGCATTAAAAAAAAATTTCAAAATTAAAGATGATCACAAGACACACGAAGAGTATTATCGACGACGGCAACGACGCGAACGATGATGATGATAACGACGATGATCGTAATGATAATGATGTATTGAGAAAAATAATAGAGAGGAGATACAGATTCCTCTCGTAAAGCCATTGTACGTTAACATTCCGTCTGATTTTGCTTAAACACATTTATTTATATATTTCTTTTGAATTAAGGCAATAACAAAAACTGCAGTGTACCTCGATACTACGAGACGATCGATGCGTTAAACGTGGGTTTCCATCCATCCATCAACTTGGCCGACGCCGTTAACGAATAATGGCGTCTCCCTCGTACCCAGGGGAACCCCCTTCTTATTTTCCAATGAAAATACGAAGACAAAAAAGAGCTTTTCTCTCAGTCACGCGCATACAACACACCAGTACACCACACTCCATCCAACTCCACGTCCAACGTCCAAAATTAAAAATCAACCGTAGAACGAAAAAAAAAAAAAAAAATTAACGACTGACGGCACTCGGTAAACGTAGGATGATCACAACTATCAAATGTGATGACTGTCTGCAACCTCATGGAAATTCGTCCTCGTCGATGGCGTCCTTATACATCGCACCTATTTATTCTATCCTACCTAATCTAATCCTGTCGACTTCCTATCCCAGTCCTCATATATTAACACATAAGTATCTGCGTAATTTCCTGTGTCTATTATATTTAAAGTCGCCAGTCTTCGCAAAGTGTTTTTCCATGAGGTGAAGGATCGAGGGTTGTCTGCACCCCGAGTTTTTCTTCTTTTTGACAAATGTTTACACCTTGACCTCTCTCTCTTGGGGGATAAATAAAATTAATAAAATAATGGGCTGGACATTTCTCATGGTATAATTGTCAGGCTCACCGGACGCTCCAGTATCTTTAACGAGAGAAAAGCGGGGACGAACGGATTTTGCCAAATTTGATCGCATAAGCTCTGCCTCGATTAAGCTCGGTCTCAGGTTGGCTCGATTCACAGACGCTTATGCATTCGGGAGCACCTCGCAAAGCTTACACTGCCCGTCCGGATTTAGAGAAATTTACTTATCCTGTGATTTTCTGCTACATAAATATTAATAACCCCACGAAGAAATGTATAGTTCAGCAGTTATACGCGAAATAGGACGCCCTATTAAAAGAAAATGAAAAAGCGATCCGGATATCATTCTTATGTCCCGAAATATTTATTTGACGAATGAAAATCTGCTTGAAGTTGACTGAACCAATTGAATCTTTCAAATCAAAATAAGGAGACGTTCATGTGACTCGGCGAGCAAACAATTTTGGGACAGGTTTACGGGATGAATTTTCAGCCGAACGAGGATTGAAAAAAAAAATGCTGGACGTGCTGGACATGTTTTATGGTGAAGATTGCACGAGTATTTTTGTTAATCTCCAAATTATTATTTGGTAACCTTATCGTGACAATTCGCTGGCCGATTATTGTATCGATGCGGATCCTCGGACGATCCTAGACACTTTATCAAAACTGACTAAATTATCAAAGGATGGAATTCGCGCCATTACTAAAGTCGGGTGAAGTAAGGGGATGGGAAAGAAAGGAAGGAAGGCAGAGAGAGAGAGAGAGAGAGAGGACTATATTTTGAGTAGAGCTCACCCGGGTAATGCAGAAGAATCAGGGCATGTTGGATTCGAGCGAGACGATGACGAGCGTGAGTCAGTGAGAGTGAGAGTGAGAGTGAGAGAGAGAGAGAGAGAGAGAGAGAGAGAGAGAGAGAGAGAGAGAGAATTTTACTACTGAGTATCTATAACCAATGACTCGTGACTCGTTCGAATTCGGCACACGAAATGGAGGCTACCCGGGATTTCGTTTGCATTCCCGCCTTAGTCTCTACGCCTACTACAAATAGATAGACTATACTATATTATAATACGACGATTATATACAAAAAATATATATTATATATAATATATTACCAATAAATTGAGGATAAGTCGTTGGTATAGGAAAGAGTGACCTGACGAATGAGAGATGAAGATATATACTGTTTTGGCAAAATACGAGAATCGCGAGAAATTGGAGCGTGATTACAAGTAACAACGAAATAGCGATGCGACGTGATATGGTTTTACCCTAATTTAACGAATGCGTGAATATAAAAGAAAAGATAAGAAAAAAGTTCCTTCTTTGTAAATATTTTAATGCGTAACTGCGTTATCGCTGAAGACATTCAGACTGTTACACAAAGAGAACGAAAGATTGCAAGAATCTTGAGTCCATCTACGAAAACGCACTAATTATCTTTTTACATTGAGTTTAAACCGATCAGTTCCAAGTCAATTGACAGGTATAACAGATCTCTAGAATTACTTAGTCGTTATTTTTTTAATTTTCAATTTGATGATCGATCACCGTTCGATCTCATGTCATTCCCGTCGTTTGAAATATTTCAACGACATCCGACGAAGAGAGAATACGGGGTGCAAGAAACGATCAAGAGACATCGAGTAATATTTATATGAATAGTGAGGAATAGATGATTCGGTAACAGCCAATGAGAATGAGAGAATACAGTGGGACGTTTCTCATATTTTGCTAAACAGTCTCCAGAAAGGGACGACCTATATGACTGAGAGTATTATTAATTTATTACAACTCAATGTAACCGGTAAGGGTAGAAGAGAGGGCAGTGCTGGAACAGGTTTTTGTTGCGCACTCCTTACGTTAGGAAATGAAGAAAAAAAAAGAAAATACCCATATAACAAATAAACGTACCTATTACAATTACACAGAGAACTCACACGGGCACTCTATAAGAGAAATACAAAATTACACTAATCCCACGTACATCGTGCTGCGATGATAATATTTAACATAGAACAAAACGTAAAATCATTATCGACGAATACGAGCTCTGAATAAATATTATGTTATCGGATAATTAATTATAATCACCGGTATCATTGTTATTGTGTAGATAAGGAGCATCTCTATGCCGAGAAGACACGAGATGTAATTATCGAGGAGCATAAATAGCATTTGCCTTTTCGTTGCCTTTTTACGTCGTTAAATGCGTGGATGCATTCGTAAGAGGCATCTTGTGTATTTTATGCGTGTTATGCATTTTATGCAGTATGTATGTACACTGTCGCATACATTTGCGTTGCGCAATTTATTTATTTGCTGTGTGTGATGTAATAGTTGATGAGTGATAATCATTATTATTTCGTATAATTCTTTTTCCCTCTTTCTTTCTTCTTTTTCCTATTTCTTTTTTTAACGTGCGAGACAAAACCTGACCCACCATTTGTGTAGCAGCTATGCGGAATTTATACGAGATCCCTTTTATTTGTACCACCCGGATAATTAACATTCTAGAGGACGATCATTCAATACAATATTAAAGGTTATTATGGCTACATATATTATATAAATATATATTATATATTAATAGAAATTGAAATACTCGTAATAAAGACACGCCGACGCTTCCTGTGAGATGGAGTTTTAATCGTGGACATTTTCCTACTGCATTTCTATTTAAATTATGAGTAGATATAGTGAATATGTTATCCAGGTTTAGTCCATGAAGTTACAAAATATAACGTAGCACGACGGGAATGAACTGACTCTCTACAAAACGATACAGAGGAGGGAATTCTAGAAATTGTACGAATATTTGATCTTATTAAAAGATTTCTCATGCTCTCAGATCTACAAGGCACGGATAACAGGGTATAGATCGTCAGTATAAATAATATTTTATGATGACGTTCACGATTTCTGACGTTCGATAAATGTTTATTTCAGGCTGTGGTTGTGATTCGCTTCCTTTGATGGTAATCCACGATAGTAGAATAAAAATTTCGCACAGCTTATTATTTCAATTGGTTTACTCAATTTACCTCTTCAGTGTATAAAGTACCAAAAACACAGTACAGAAATATAGGAACGAGACCTCCCATCAAGTAGTTAGCAAATCATATAATACATATGGCATTATTGTCACTGAGCTTTAAATATTTAGAAAAGAAAGGAAAACGCCACTTGACTTCTCTTTTGAGTAAATAAATTTCTCTTGCAGTCATCTTCTTTATGGTAATCAATATCAGCAAAAGTTCTCCAAACATAAACTTTACGAATATAACATCGTTAAATATTTCCTCTAGGTCTTCAGTATATCTGTAAGATGTAACGGGTACAACAAATCAATCTGGAAGTTAACCGCGAGAGCGACTGCCTTTTCTTAACACATTAAAGGCGGGGGATCTTGACGAAAGCATGCTAGGTAACGCGGCGACCGCCCCGCCTCGTTTTTCGTCCTAGACCGGGCAATATTATGTGTAATCATAAAAAAATTTAGACTTAAACAAATTTATTTAAACTCTTAAAACTACAAGACATATTAAAAAAGAACTAAACACTAATTACAAAAAATGTTTGAAAGTACATATTTATGAGAAGAATCGTCTGCATATATATCTTTATTTTCGCGTGAAACCATATTGAAGGATTTCAAAATTTACTGTAAGTAGAATTTGAACAACCGAACAGCTTCAAACCACAAAAAATACTAAATACAAATGTAAAGTGGCGCATGGATTGCGCAATGTGGTTGCAAACCGTACTAATACGACTCCCGCCTTTAAGCTACAGTCGAGATAAATCGTAGTACTACGACTCCCGCCTTTAATGTGTTAAATATGAATTGGGAAATTTCCGAACTAAAAATTAAAGAAAGAGATTTATGCTGCTGATTTATTTACAAAAATACTACGTACAAATAACATTCAATTTTGACGTACCCCTTTAAAACGTCTTCCTGCTATATACAATCGACGTTGTTCACGTAAACTGCAGTCTGCGGGTGCACAGATACTCTGCCTAAAATACTTTCTGCATCTGCGCAATGACGATCGTTACACTCGTCCTTCTCTAAATTTCTTAAGTGATTTTGTAATGCCTGTGAGGAATATAATGAAGTAGTACTAGACTCTGCGAGAGTTAAAACCAATCAAGCTTCATAAGACAAAACTCAATAAATTGGACCATCATCCAGGTTGTCATCTTCGTCATCATAGCCTTCCCCGTTATCAAAATAGTTATTATAATAGTCAGTTCCATCATCCATCTCTTCATCAGCTTCTTCCTCCTCATCCTCTACATGTTCGTCAACTTCCTTTTCTTCATTCTTGCCTTCCTCCTTCCCATCTTCTTCAGTATCACTTTGCTGAGTATCCTCCTTTGTCTCCAATTCCTTGAGTTTAGTTTCAATGTCTATATCTTTCTTTTTCTTTACAACTTTCTTAATATTGTCAACTTTGCGTTTCTTAATAGCAGGTTTTAACTCTGCTGGCATCCTAGTCCAGTCGTAATGTGCTTCGTAGCTTGTTTTATCAGTTATCATATCCTGATATTTATCAGAGTATCTTTCTATATCTTTCTTAATGACAATTGGTTGAACATTATAAGAAGACTCACGAGTGAACTCTGCAAAGTCCCTTTTAAGTTCAAGGAGGTAATTTGTTTCATTAGTAAGTGTAAAGGAAATAGGTTTGTAGTCCAATGGAGGATACTTTGGTGGTGGTTGTAAAACAGGTGGTGGAAGAGCTTCACCCTTGCTAAAACCCAATTGCTCAACATTGATAGACATAGAGGCCTTACCTCTTCCCCTACCACGTCCTGCCATTTTAGTAAATTAGCTTGTGGGATATTATCTATAGAAATAAAAAACTGATTATAATGGTAAAATTCCATGATACACTTTTTGCACTCTAGATTAATCAATAGAAAAAAGCCTTATACCTCAAGCTTTCTCCATAGGAAGTTCCTTCTCGTCTGCTTTAACTAATTCTTCCTGTTTTGCAGCAAATGTCTCTTTGTCATAGATGACTTTAACGACCAAAGAGCAGGAAGGGCATGTAGCTTCGTCCTCGCCAGCTGTAAGGTCGGTCTTTGAAATTTGAAACTGATCACCGCACGGACAAGGGTAGTAATAGATTTCTTCGTCCTCGTCGTATTCGAAGTCCTCAATTTCCACTTCGTCGTGGTAAACCGTCATACTTCATGCGAAATGCGGTTAAATAAAGGTTAGGAAGCCTGCAGTATACACACTTTATGAAAAGCACGTGGCACCGTGGCACAAGGATGTATTCTTGAATTCATGCTTAACACTAAATGTACCATCGAGCGGTCATTTAACCGTTTTAAAGCCAAAAATACGTTTATAAAAAATTATCAGTATGTTTAGTATTAACGCCGCTCAACACCTGTACCAGGTAACCACAGGTAACTGTCAGGGGTGTAGCAAGTAATTTTTACGTTTTCATTTACCGTGGAAGTCTTCTAATTCAAAAGTCTAGAAAAATCATTGCGCTCTGTAGCACTCTGTAGGGCGATGCTCTCTACGTAAATTGAGAAAATAAGGAGATTTCAAAGCAGTTTGCCAAGAATACTCAAAGAATATTAACTTTGCATCGTGTACAAATATGAGTGACGAGCATACAGTAAGTAGTATCATAAAAACTAATATCATATTAGGGAGATTCATCAAAATTTCAATGGTGCTACTAGTACACTATTGATAACGTCGTCACAAAGTCTTGCTGTATAGCGTTCAGCAAAGAATCTTACAACATTGAGAATCGTTAAAGAAAAAACTTTTTGTGAGAGTAAGGCATGTACAAGTCCCCTTTCAATCATATTCGAATAATTAGGAGGGTACTTGTATGTTTTATTCCATTGTTTTGCAATTTCATTACAGTTCTGTTGCATCACTAGTCTTTAAAAATATTATAATATTTTACATTATTTTGTCGAGATAATTAATCGTCACCACTTATTTGTTCATAAAAACATATATTCCATACTATCCAAGAAATGCAGATATGTTGCCAATCACTGCATCAGCCAATTCTCCCACCATATTGCGTAGCAATGTCGAATGTAATACAGTATGAAAATTTTTTATTCTTTGTCCACAAATAAAAAAGATTACTAGATCTTTGCTATCCATAAAGTTTCTTGTATATACAATTAAACTGTGACTGTATTGTATCTAAATAGACACATTTATTTTCACAGAATTTACTCTATAACATTGAAAACGACAGACATGGAAGGAGAGAGCATTGATGAGGACGATGATGTTGTGATTGAGGTATTGATAAAAAATTATAGATATCCTGAAATGTCATATGGAACAATTTTTATCCATAATTTTAGGGCAGTGATTTACATGATGCATTGATCAACATGGGATATACAGATTTTGAAAGTGCAATAGTAGCTAGGAGTGAGTTGCCAGATTCCTTAAATGATTTCAAAATAAAGGTACAACTTGTATGAAAACAAAACAAAAATTGATCAATTATTCAAAGAATATTGTTGTCAATTATCATTTTATCACAGATACCATCAACGGCTAACCCAAATATTTACAGTTGGTTAATCAATATTTATCGATATGTAATGCAGGTGAGAGATCCTTTTCTAGCGTGTAATAATAAAACAATTATTTATTCATCAATTTAATTATTCAATTCACAGGATGAGCACAGTTCAAGAAAACAGTTGCAAACAATTTTGCAAACAAAACCACTTTTAGATGATCATAGATCAGTAATACAAAGTTTGATCAGTGAGCATAATAATACAATTTGGAGGTAATTATTAATGTTCTTAACACTTATAAGAGAACATTTGTAATTGTATGTATAGAATTACTTTATGACTTTTCAGCAAAATTTTTTCAACACTTCCAGTAGTTAGTTCGACCATCATAATAGCAACAGGTATCTTGATTGCAAAACAGAAATCGAAATTAGCCCTGATAGTTGGCTTGCCAGCATTGATTATTGCAGCTTACACTAAATACATACGCTGGTCTGCAGAAAAAGATTTAAAGCATCTTGTATCTTTAGAGAATGATTTGTATTATCTTAGCAAACGACTTCTGAAAATTGTTAGACATGGTTACAGAATGAAGGTTCATCTGAAAGATCGTGAATCGAAATTCACGTATGTCTTATCATTAAGTTTTTCTAATCTACAAGAATATGTGAAAAATTATTTGATAGTTACAATTTTTATAACAGCGATTTTGGAGCAGAACGATTAAAATATGTGCAGTCATTAACGGAAATTTTCATAAGCACGCTGGAGCATCAGTCAATTGATAATTATCGGGTTTCGTTAATTGTTGCTAAATGTCTTCCTAGTTCAATTAATAGCAACGAATTAGTAACGAATTTTGAAAGAAGCACACTTGTTACAACGGGTGAAATCACGTATTCAGTATTGAAAGTAAGATGCTGCTTCGAAACAGCATAAATACTATCTTTCAGCCAAAAATTATTTAATAACGAAACTATTTTTTAGCGCCTGTATTACACGTATATCTTAATTCAATCAGAAATGCTGCAACTATTAGCAATTGCATACAACAGTAACACTTGGAGTGGCCATGGTAAAATTCAAGAAATAAAACTATCTTTGATCATTAAAAGTTTAGTGGATTCTTTGACAAAGTACAGTGGAAAATTAAGAAAGGTGGTTGATGAATATAGTAATTGTCAATTAAAAATTATTCGCCACGAATACAAGTAAGTTGTAATAATTTATTATTATTTCATTAAACTAAGAATACATAATCTTTCTTATTCTTAGGGGATTAACGGGATCAAGATGGCAGGATTTATACATGCATTTAGATTTAACTTCTCATAAAATACAAATCGTCTACAATCATATAATGTCAATCCTCCAGGATATCGATGTGTATGAAGAGATTCAAGGATTGGAATCCTCCTTCCTGGAATCATTAAAAGAAAAGATAAATGAAGTGCATAAGAAGATTGATACTGCTAAGAGTTTTGCAGAAACGAGTAGTTTGCTTATTGCCAGGATGCAAAATGTTAATCAAGAAAAATTGTCGTGCGATGAAAAATCGTTATTGATACCTATAATGACACCGGATGTACCGGTAATCAAGGATTCAGCTCCTCAAATAATGGATGAAGTATTTGAGGAATATATCAAGGAAGAATATTTGAAATCGCTATACGAAGATGGTGATGATGTCCTGCAGGAAAAATACAAACTGGATAAGTCTTTAGCTAAGAATTTCATGGGCGAATTAAAAGAAGTATTGATCGAAAAGCAGAAGTCGATGACGGAGCGTGAATTAAAGGCTCTGCAAAGAATGTATAAAAATGTTGAAGTCAGATCTGCAGCAGACGATGTAGAAAATGTCGACAGTACAGATTCAGAAATTCATAAAAATTCACAATTAGTTCCTAAACAATCACAGTTGCCTGTGACTGTTAAAAATGATATATTGAATCCAGGAGAAGGAGAAGGAGAAGGAAGAAAATATCATAAGCCTGTTTCTCTTCCACGAAAAAGACAAGAAGTGCCTCCTAGTGAATTAAGAAACTGGGCTGATAATCCTCAGATTTCTGAAACTCATGCTAAGCTCCCAGAAAATCTCAATTCGTCTCGAGATATCGCGGTACCACCGATACCACCGCCTCTTCCTCCTGCAGCGAACAATGAAGATGTAGAAAAATGTCCATTGGCTATATTGGCATTGAATACTCGAGTGCATGCGTTCTTTAATCTATCTGAAGAGACTTTTGTTGGTAGCGGAGAAAACTCTGAAGAGGAACTTGTAGATATAGAATTGGACAATATTTCTGTTCTTTAATGTGTATAAAAAGTTACTAATGTAAAAGTAATTTACTGGGAATTATTACTCTATAAAAAATATGTAGAAATAAATACTTCACCCAATCTGTCTTTTATGGTTGATTATAGGTTTTATTAATTAAAGTTTCATCCTCATTGGAAGAGTCAGCCATAAGGAAAGGAAGGAGTTAAAGATTCACTAATTCTATCTAAAAAAAAAAAAAAATTATAATAAAATATGTGGGATTTAGGAGATAAGATGCGCAAAATAAAGAATGTTGAATGTTACTTATAGTTTACTCATATACAATAGATACAACATATTTATATTTTTGTTTAATCGAACTCTGTTAGAGACAGCCAATAGCAGTCAGCAGCTTCAGGTGTCATCGTAGATCGTAGGTTGGAGAGGATCCGTTCTTATCATTGCCATTATGTAATATTTCCTCAGAAATTACGTGCTTAGCTCCATCGTAGAGACGTCCATTCCTTAGGAAAATAATGACAGGGAAAATAGAGCACAGCTGAAAAGGATGTCGAAGCACAAGAGCGGAGGAGAAGGATGCAGGATGCAGTTAGGACAGAATGCCTTGGCGGTCTGGCACATCTCATTGGAGGAGTCAGACATAAGGGGAAAGGAAGGAAGGAAGGAAGGAATGTCCTGGCGGTAACGTCAGGAAGTTGAAATTTCCTTTCCAATATTGCTCGCCAATGGGAAGAAAGCAACACACTCATCATATTTTGAAATAGGAAAAATAACCGCTGTTCCGTACAGTTCTGTGTGAGGTAATCAGACTTGATTGGGGTTGATCCTTAGGGAGAAGTACTTAGGGCCATTTTAGTGTTTAGCTAGTTGCATCATTTTTTGAGAATAATTGCATGCTATAAGGAAGAAGAAAATATGTCTACGGAAAAGGTATTAAGATTAAAAATTTACTCCAACATTACGTTTTGTAAGAATGCACAAGTTAATTCTATTTTAATTATTATATTTTTATATTACATTATATAAAATTAAACGAATTTTGATAATCTACAAGTGTTCTCTATGAAAATGTGAAGAGCACAAGGAGAGAATAATGAACAATGTCAAATATAACTCTTTAAGAGAGTCGTTATGAAAAGAGTATGTACTATGTACTGAGTATAAATCTGTCTCACATGAATCAAATTCCTATTTATGTTTACTGTCATTTTCAGTTACAAGAAAACTGATTTCATTATTTGCGAAATCCTTAATGAGCTTATTAATTTATCTATTTGCTTTGGGAAATATTGCTGTTTAACTGGATTAGGCATGTCAAAATATAAACCCTTTTATTTTTTATAAAATGGATACTTATTCCATTCTGGTACCTTTTATACAGAATGCATTATGTACTTGTCGCAATCAATAATAGATATTATAATTAGTAAATGATGTTCTTATACAGATGGAGAATACATTAGATTCGATCCGACCATCAGAAAATCTGACAGAGCAAGAAGAGATGTCATATTTATTTGGCAGAGATCCTAGTATTTTAGCATATGGTCAAAGGAGATCATTAATTACTGATGGATTAAAGGAAAATCTCATATCACCCTGTGACGATGAGGAAACAGATTCAAGGCATACCACTTCATTCTTATCACCATTATCTGAAACTGTAAAAGTCTATTTGCGTCTCAAACCATACCCAAAAAGGATCAAATTGACGGAGGAGCAAAAAGAAGCATACACAATTCTTAATGCAAAAACGCTTTTAACAAAGCTACCTCTCATGGATACAAATACTAGCTGTCTGAAAAGGGCAAAAAACAATGATACGGTGTGCCGAAAATTCACATTCACGCAAACATTTTCATCTACAATATCACAATTCGAACTTTTCGAACACGCGATTAAACAGCGAATGGTTGATTTTTTGGATGGTCAAAATTCAACAGTCATGTCTTATGGAACAACTAATTCTGGGAAGTCATATACATTGCAGGGTACTACAGTGTCACCTGGCATAATTCCACGTAGTTTGGATTTTGTATTTTCTAACATTGATCCAACATCTGTACCATGCTATAAGCCTATACATTATTGTGATGTGATATGTTTAAATTCAAGCGAGCGCCTTCAAGAAATTGAATTTAAAACCAAACTTTTATGTCTATCACCGATTGACAGAAATCAGTGTGTGAATACATACAAGGAAATGCAGAAATTACTTGAGCAGGAATATCCAAAACGACAAAATGTCTCTGTCAATGCTCAATACTCAGTATGGGTGTCTTTTGCCGAAATTTATAACGAAACAATCTATGATCTTTTATCAGTTGAATCTCAAAAAAGAAGAATACCACTAAAGCTCGCCACTGATAATCATGGTAGAGCATTCATTAAAGGTTTAAAAACAATTAGCGTTAATTCTGGCTCTGAAGCATATCAAATTTTAATGGCTGGTCAGCACAACCTAAAAGTTGCCACTACAGCATTGAATTCAAGAAGTTCACGATCTCATTGTATATTTACAATCAAGCTTTTAAAGTACCATGCAGAAAACGCTTCTGAAAAGGTTGAACTAAGCACGTAAGTGATGACACAACAGTTTATAAATCAAAATTTAACACACCCAGATAAATTTCACACATTGACTTTTTATAATTTAGGTTTTCATTTTGCGACTTGGCAGGATCTGAAAGGTTAAAGAAGACTCTGAATGTAGGCGATCGTTTAAAAGAAGCCCAGAACATTAACACAAGTCTGCTAGTCCTTGGTAGATGTCTTAAGTCGATCTATGAAGGACAAATCGTAAAGCAAAAGCAGGAAATTATGGGGCCCTTTCGTGAATCCAAGTTGACGAGACTCTTTCAGAAAACTTTATCTGGCAAAGAACGTCTAGTTCTGATAGTAAATGTCAACCCTTCACCAGATTCATACATTGAAACACAAAATGTCCTGAACTTTTCTGCTATCGCTAAAAAGATAATTATTGAACCAAAGGAGATAAAGCGGAAAACAGGAACGTCAAGATTTTCACAAATTGTAACGCAAAGCATCAAGATTCCTACAGATTGGGATACGACAGATTTAGATAGTATAAGTAAGTGAGGAGTAGTTCCTTGTTTATTTCAGGCTAAGTTATGTATTTTATAACGTTAATGTAATTACTTTTGTTTATTCAGGTGAAAAGAAGGAGCCAATTGCAGCATTACAAAAATCCTATGAAGACATTTACCTTGAGCGCTACGAAGATGCCTTAAATGAGAATAAAAAATTAAAAAGAGAAATCGAATTTTTACGTTCATCAGCTTTAAACAGGGACTTGGAAATTCGACAGGAAATGGCTGAAACTTTTACTGCTACAATGTCTCAAATGGAAGTGGAATGGAGGTACTTAAAGAATTCCAAATTTCTATGTTATCCGTTCAATATGTTCTGTAGATTATTATAAATTTTATAAGGCAGTGAAAGTCCATCTGCCTACAAAAATTCATTAGTGCTGTATCAATTCATTTGCAGGAACCGTATTAAAAGCGTAGAGGAGCAACAGGACTGCTTACTTCAATGGTCTGTAGCAAGAACCGAAAATTTTTACAAAAATAAACTCGTCCAGTTGGGGAAAGGAAAAAGGATGCGTTCTGACATAAACGATGAGAGCGATAACGAGGATAATGAGGATTTAGAGTTAGAAAATACCCGCTTGAAAGCAAAAATCGCAGCTTTGAAAAAAGCAGTAAAGGAAATACGAGAATCGAAGGATATACTATCCGCTGATAAGAGTAAAGCTACATTCGAATTGGCTATAGTGAAAGAAGAGCTGAAGAATCGCGAAAACCTTTTAGAAGCAGCACAAAAGGATTCTAACGGTGAGGCGCATAATTATATAGCAGAACTGAAGGTTCTGTTAGCAAAAAAGGATGAGCAGATTAAGCGTCTGAAGATGTTCCTTGACGAAGCTAAGGACGAATATATCACCATAACAACCGATGCAAGGGAGATGCAAAATCGCTTGAAAGAGCAGAACGAAACTGTTGTTGAAAATATGGACCTAATTGCTGAACTGGAAGAGCAACTGGAACACGCAAATATTCATCTTCCCGAGAAAACCAAAGCTGTGGAAATTCTTGAGGATCGAGTTGAGTTCCAAACAAAAAAGTTAATCGACGCAGAAATTATTATTGTAGAAATGCAGAGTAAGATTAGTCAGTTAGAAACTGATAAAATAGCTCTGTTGGAAGATTTGGCCAAACTACAGGAGATCGTAATTGATCACGATAAGAAATCCACTCCTAGGTCTTTCCAAGACAAGAGTGTCGAGCATTTGAATATCAAATATCTGACTCTCGATGAAGTTAAAAGCGAGTCGCAAGAAGAAAAGGTTGAAAATCGGTTGAAGACCGAAGAGCTTCTTCAAGAAAAAATAATGGTATGCCCAAGGGTAATTTTCCATCGGAATACTGAACAATACTGAATGAATACTGAACGGAATATTCTTTCAATAATTAAAATATTTTTTTTTTCATTCTTTAAGAGCAAGCAAGAGTCGCATCAGAGAGAAATTCAATATACCCGGGTATATTTTGAGAACTTTTATTAGCATAAACGTTACATTGACCAATTTTCTCCGTTCACAGGATCTAGCGATGGCCCATGATAAACTGAGTAACGCATTATCAAAGGTAATTGCTATTATTGTTTTTATAATTGCGACTGGTTTTTCATATTATTAACTCACTTTTGGCGTTCTATAGGAGATGCATTATGAGAACGTAATAGAGAAATTGCAAAAAGAAGTAAGTGCGGCAAATGAAAGATATGAAATTAAAGCCCAGGTAATTGTTTCTTTTATTTTATTATAATAGAATATAATTTTACCTGAAATGCAATGAAATTTTTAAATAAGTCAACAATCAACTCTCTCTAATTTTGCATCCCGGGGTTCTTTGTAGAGCTTTTCTCTTACCTTGACATTAGCTATTCTTGTTCATGTAAACGTGCAAGTGGGAATGAGAGAAGGAAAACTATACATTTTCCGCCTAGCTGAATTTTTAAAGAAAGAATCGTGGTGCGAAAAATCAGAGAGAGTCCACTGTATTATTTTTTAATGATAATAAATATTGAACGACAGTGCCTGGAGGCGTATCTAGAACGAATAACGAAATTGGAAGAAAACATAACAAAGTCGAAAAAATCACAAGAGACGACAACCAAAGAGCAAGAAATGGAGAATGAAATTGCGAATCTGCAAAAAGGTGAATATTTGCTGTGGTTTGCCAGTACGTTTACATTAAGAAATTTTGCATATTTATATGATTTTAGAACTTAAAAATATGATTCGGCTAAATGCCGATTCCAAGACAGACCAAGAAATGGAAGCATCAATGAAGCATGTGTTAAAGCAATTAACTGAAACGAAAGAAGCTCTGGCAAAAATGGAATCATTATACAAAGATACTGAAACAGAAAAGCAACTGTGTCATCGTGAAATCGAAACCATGACACTTCGCCTACAACAATACGAACAAAATGTCAAGATTTTAGATTTATTGCAACAAAGTTCTCAAGAGCGTCAGATTGAAAATGAACAGTTAAAAAAGATGAATGACGAATTAAAGAATAGTCTTGCTGATAAAGATCGTGAGATGGAAGCTTTTAGAAAGAATAGAGAAGAAACTGCTGTCAAATATGATAATCTGGTGAAATCGCAGCAAGAAGAAATCGAAAGACAGAAAAGAGAGGTCCGAAAAAAACAAGTATATTAATTGGTAACGATACTGCAATTAATACCACTATATTAACTTCTTTATCTGTACTTTAATTAACAGGTAATGAGATATCAAGAATTGTTCCGACGAGAAACCCCGAACAAGATAGAAATAAAAACACTAAAGGATAATCTTAAAGCAATGAAAATGCGTTATGAAGAAGCTCAAGAGAGAGTAAGTGAGCAACAGTTGTATATAGACACAAAATTAGATAGATGTTGTAGCTAATGAGAATATATTTTTCTAAATTAGTTAAGTAAATTGGCGGTCCAGATAAAAGATACGCGTGAAAATACATCGGACGATGACGTTGTTATCCATGAATCCCGATCTAGGCGAAAACCTAAGAAGGAATATTTGACAGTTTCATCAGAAAGCTATACCGAGGTCATTACAGAATGTTCGGGCTCTGAGTCAAGGTAAGATATAATCTTTAAACAATGAAATTAGAAAATTTGGTATGCTATATTTAAAAACTATATTGTTTTAGACGAATAACTAGAAGAGCAGCGTTACCCCCACCCTCGGTTGAATCAACGTTAGAGAAAAAGCGAACGATGCGTAAAAAGAAATTATTTGTTCAATCGGATGACGCATGTGCTGATATTGATCGATGTGAGGTGGCTACAACTTGTTATTATTAATATATAATAATTAGCACATTATATAAGGTATAAAATCATTAACTGTTTATTAACATTGTAGAATATTCCACCGTCACCAGCACCGTCTTCCTCAACGCGTAACTTGAGGACACGAAGAAAATGAGTCATACAGCAGTGCAAATTGATTGAATAATCCATACTTCATACACTGCACGTTAAGTAAAGGCATAATCTTCATAAGGAATGCGTCAATGTATCATCCTTTTTTCATTTATTTATATGGTAGTAATATCTATATTTTTTATATTGATTCCCTTAATAGTATCATTACTTAAAGACTGAATAATTTGTTAGTGGGTAGTTGAATTAATCATCTTCACTTATGCAAGTATTGTTTTTTTTGCAAATTGTATTTGAATGTTTCTGTAAATATTCGTAGACATCTTAACGTACGCTGGCGGTAACGTCTAAAAGTTACTTGTATAGTACATACATACATACCAGAGCGACACACGCGCTTTCGCGCGTTATTGGAAGTCCGTTTGCGCTTTGAATAGTTTAAATACTTTTCAGCGCTCGCGTCCGTAATCGGGCGAACATCGTGCAGAGTCGGGTAAATGTGTAAAGCCATTGATTCCCGCTCCTGCGCTGCAATAACGCTAGGTTTTTTCGTTTTCTATCTAGTGCACCGAAATAGAAGTTATTGCAGTGCAGGAGAAAAGTCTTTTGTCATTGCAACGCGGCAGCAACAGCGTCGGAGAGGAGCAATGTAGGAGAAGGAGAAAGGATCGCCCGATACGGCCGCTCGCGCAGAAAAATTGTTAACGTAACTTGAGCGAAACTCTCGCTTGTTTTCGCCTGAGCGTCTACAGTAGAGAGAGGGGAAGAGCATCCCCCTCTCTCTACGATACACACTGCGGCGAAAAGAAGCGAGGTTCGCTCAAGATACATAAATAACTAATTCAGCCGATCAGAAAAGCTCTATATTTCTCGGTCTCGTTCTAAGGGTTGCTTTGGGAACCAGCGGTGAGTAGCGGAGAACCTCTGCTCGCCAAGCTACGCGTTCGTGTTCACGTTTAGCTCGGCTACAACGGAATTCGCATTGTCGACGGAGACGATGATCACAAAATTCTACTTCCAGACTCGCCGCTATGATTTAGTGCCATGATTTTGGTATCGCCTAAGACGGTAGCGTTGTGCATCTCCCTACTCATCTCTGGTAATATACTTATGTTCTTTGCTCATTGGGAATAATAGCTATAAACGAAAGAAAGGAAGGTTAACAACGCACCAATTTCAATATTTACGACTCCTTCTCGTCGCTTAATTTATACACGCAGATTATTAAACTATCCAGGATGCCTCTTCCTGCTGCGTTAGCTGCACGACTTGCAAAAAGAGGCCTTATATCCGGTGCAGAAAAACACGGTGAAATTTCTAATTTACTATTGACTTTGTTATCACTGTTTTACATGAGCTAAATTTATTATTTAATATTTATAGAATCAGCAAAAAGAGAATCAAAGAAGAAGGTTCACGAGGAAGTTATTGCTGAAGATTACGACAATGCTAAAGATGAAATAAATCAAATTGATCTTTCTCAAAAATTTATGGTGACTATTATTATTTGCTGTTCTTCCTGATAGAATTGTGGATGCACGATCTTAATATTTATTTTTTTTTACAGGGATACAGTGGTTGCCCGAACAAGTATAATATTTATCATGAATGTAACAAAAAATGTAAGGAATTATGGGGAGTTGGACATTTGCAACCATGTGAAAAATATCTAAAGTGCCAGACTCGCTTAATTCAGAAGTATCCATTACCTGAAACTTGGAAATCTGTATATGATCCAGGATCGTAAGTAGCTCTTATTCTATAATTTGTTGAATGGTAAGTATAATCAACCATTAACATTATCACTTTTTTTACAGTGGACAGCATTATTATTGGGATTGGGCTTCAGATTTAGTTTCATGGTTACCTCCAGCTCATCCAAAATGTCAAATATCTCAACCTGCCTCTCAATTACGTGAAGAACTACATCTTAAAGCTGCTGATCAAGATGACAATATGTCAAGTGATGATAGTGGTAGTGACCAGGAATCTATGGAAGTTAGTCTTTTTTATATATTATGCCATATCCTTTTCAATCTAAGAAGAAAGTATAAAAATGACTGTCTTTTACAGATAGATGAGATTGACAATAAGAAGGAACAAAAATCTGAAAGTCGGGAGAGATATAAAAATACTGACAACCGTAGAGTTCAAAGGGTGGAAAACAAAGACAAAAAGGACAGAACCTTGGATCCTATGGACCCCGCATCTTACAGTGATATTCCTAGGTTCGTACATTATTTACCAACAGAACTATGTTTTTGGATAATATTAGTATTTATTGTTGAAAAACAATGCTCTTGTTTAGAGGTAAATGGTCAGATGGCTTAGTTCGCCACAACGAAGCCAAGACCGGTGCAGATACAACAGCATCAGGACCATTATATCAAATGAGGCCTTATCCAAGTCCAGGAGCTGTCTTGCGATCTAACAGAGCAAACAAGATAGAAGCAGAAGCAACTGGAAAAGCCAAAGTCTCCTTTCCAGAAAAGCCTGAATAAATAATACAATATTCCTAACAGCAATAAATTATTTATAATTCTCCCTTTGAATAACAAAGAATTCTGTCATAATGTTTAGTGTTGTCTTAATTTTTTTCCACTAATACTAATTCTGACTATATTCATTAGCAGTGAATTATATTAAATTTCTGAGGTTTCTAAGGAACACATTTTCGATTTAATTGCTATGAATATTGCTTTAAATATATTCTTGTTTAAAAAGTGCACTTGGTCATTATGTGCACAATCCAGCATAATCATAATGGCCGATACTGTAGATCGTGACGATCCGTAGCAATGTTGGTGGCGACTCCTGCTGTCTACTCTGGCCTGCTGTGGCCTAACCGTGTTCAGCCGTGTTGTGACCACGGGAAACTTGTTGTCATTCAGAGATTTTCCAACGTTTTCGTGTGAAATTATTTCTCCACTCGAGAAGACCAAGACGAATCTTAAGAAGAAAGACCGTAATATCACAAAGAAACAGAGATCGAGTGCTTATTGAAACGCGTGTTATAAACTTGCCGAACGTTTCATTCTTTAGCTTGGTTGAAGCTAGCGAAATTTCCTGGGATCACGGCATTATCGCGATCCGATTAGGGTACCGGAATGAAGAATTTTTTCCCAAAAATATATAACGGTGAGTGTAATTCCTGAACTTGTTAAGAGTAATATTATTTGCAGTATTCATCTGAAGTGGATGTTGTCTTGTAGGCCTATAAACGTCACCATGTGATCTTTACTGTATTTCTATAGATTTACTCTATTTGTTGACAGGATATGGTTTAGTATCTTGTGTTTTTCATTATTGAGGACGTTCTTCTTTTTTATTAACTTTTGAATCTCTTGAGAAAACTTCTGAACGTATTTTTGATATTTTGGTGTTCATCTTTGTAGTCTCTTTTGTATTCTCCTTATCTCATTCCCTTTTTTGAAACCTCATATCCTCTTTCCTCTTTATACTTTACATTTTCCCTGTCACACCTCTTTTCACCGCCTCTGCTAGTATCTGATGAATTTTATTGAGAATTACAAAAATAGTTAAGTTTCGATATATAAAAGGTTAGCATATTCTTATGATGACTACGTAATGCTGATCTTGAAGTTCTAGATATTGTACATAACTGTTTGATTTATCATATTTCAGAGTACATTGTTTGTGGAATACGTTTGGATCTACAATTGTGAATCGTGGATAAAGTATATACCAGGTGGCTTTTGTATAATAGTAAGATATATTTGTGAGCGGAAATGTACTCCAAAGACGCATCAGAGACTGAGCAAGTTTTTGATTGAGAAGATGGTGAAAATGAGATTCTAGATACTAAATACTTAGATACCGTGAATAATTGTCATTGTGTTCAAAGAAGTCAGTGTAAAAAATATATATACATGAATAAGCCCAATATTTTAATAATACTTGTAATACGTGTATAATTCATACATCATTGCCAAATGTGTAAAAGTGCTAACTAAACGTTTTTTGAATATCATTATTTATCATTTTAATAGACGTTCTGCATACAAGAATATAAATTACATAAAGTACATCAATTTATTTATGCCACAAAATTTTGTAATTGTACAAAATATGTTTTAAAACTATGAAATCAGTGGGAAGAATAGAGGCAACAGGAGTGTTTATATTTGCATTATACTGGAATCCTAATGACAGCTGATCAAATTAATCTTACATCAGAGGATATATATTTTCATAGCTATTAAGATTAATACAATGATTCTGTGATTAACCGAAGGATGCTTTAGCAGCTTTGGACATTTTTCAATAATTCCTTAACAATAAATATACTGTAAAGCTAGAATCAATATAGCCTATCATCTAATTCTAAAATGATAAATTGATTAAGGATGTGTAATTGTCAGAGAGTGAGAAATTTGAGAAAGCAGCACAATCTTTTGAAAAATATGCCCTAAACTATCAAAGTTACAATAATACATAATCACCTGTTAATAGTCTTGCCTACTGTGAAGACATTATTGCTAAAAAAAAAACTTGGTTGCTTGATCAAAGTAATAATAATTTAAACAACTTCTACATATCTCTGCAAAAGGCGTATCTACAGAGAAGACTTCACAGCTGGTATGATTTAGATGACATCCTATAAGAGCCCTTAATTAATAAGAGTAATAAAAAGCAAAAATGATGTTATCTTGAATCATTATATTTTAGGTACATACGAGGAAGTCCTAATGCTGAAAGGAGGTATATCGCCGTATCTGGACACTCATAACGAAGAAGATTCGCCTTACGTAACGCTCAGCAATGGACCATTCGGTAAGATAAATTGTATGCATTGTACCTTGAGATTAATAACGTTAATGAGCGTTTTCAATTTTGTAATTTATCAATGTCTTGCTATTACATTGACGAGTAGTTTGCATTAATGATGATTCGACAATTCATATGATTGCAGCTTATGTAGTCGAGACGCCGAGTACTGAATCCAACCAGAATGGTCACACCCTCGCAGACGTTTATTTCGTTACACCAATTCTCTGCGTTCACTGTAAGTTCATATTCCACCCCAAATCAGCCGCATATAGAAGTAATTTTTCAAAGCATTTTGCAAAATAAAATATACTTCAAAGATACTCTTTATAGTTTGGTTAATGCAGTGTAGTTTTCCATGAAAACGTATCCGTATATACGCATTCTCTCTATCTATATAATCTTTCGGAATGAGAAATCTATTATTAATCTATTATCGTTCATTTTTAATGTTATATTTATTGCCATTATCGGTCACGTGGAATTGCGATAAGAAATAAGCCAATCCAGCTCAGATAAAGAATTTTTGCTATTAACAAACGAGAAGTGCAACATTTTTGTTGGATTATTATTTGTTTGCGTGAACTTGATGTTCATGCAAAAAAAAAGTAGCCTAATAAATATTCTTTTTTATATTACAGGTGAAGATTACATTTGGGGCACCGGAAAGGTCGGGGTTAAGTGCAAAGGTAAGCTGATAAATTTCTGTATATATTTACAGTGTATTAATAATGCAGGCGTTACAATAGCAAATAACTTTGCGTGACTCTAGATTAATGATACTGTATCCACTTATGTTACGGCATTATTGTCACGGTCGAATTTGTAAGGAGTATTTAAAAGTATCTTAATATAATGTTAGTCGATTGTTAAGACGGTGGGAGGATCGATGATCCGTTTAATAAGATACTTGCGACAACTTACGGTGCTTGGTACGGGAACCTTATTTCTCGGATGTTTCGACTTGTCAAGGTGGTACAGGGATCGTGCGAATATTCATGCTGAAAGGGGGGGGGGGGGTTTTTTTTT